TCCTCCTTCATCTGCCGCATTTTTGGAAAAGACACCCCCCCGGGCGCTAAATCTTTAAAGAGTGGGGGACCCAAAATTTGTTGTTGGCAATGGAATGGAAATCTCATTGGGCACAAAAAACCTTTTCGGGATCCCAAGAAAGAAAACCGGTGTTTTCTCCCCGAGAAAATCCGCAAAAAATCCCGCGAAATTTTGGGGAGAGAGGAAAAATAGGATTTTCCACCTGGGGCGGCCATAGGGAAAAACGTTTCCAAACAGAGGGGGGTTAAGAGGAACCCGTTTGCAAAAATATTGCCGGGGTTTTTGGGGGAGGCGATGGGGAAGGAGATGGAGAAATGGGAGGAGAAGGGGCCCTTTGGGGTGTGCCCCTATTTATTTATTTATTTATTTATTTATTTATTTCCCCCCCCCCCCCCCCCTCCCTTTTTCTACTCTTCTCTTCTTCTTCTACTTCTCTTCTTGTACTTTTCTTTTCTTCCCCCCACCCTTTTGCCCTCTTGGATTAGGGATTTTATGTTTAGATAAACACATTTTCCTTTGGTCTGTTGTATGACTACGGTGGTTTATTCTTACGAATGAGGAGAATGCGGATAGATTGCTAGACAGCGACTTAAACATCCATAACATATCATACTCCATAACATATCATACTACAGCAACTACATCCATCATAACAAACTACAGCAACAAAGCTAATTACACAGAATGATAAGCTGGCAAAGATGCGCAGTTAAAATTACGTATGAAGGTCTCGGAATCGTTCCCGGGAGCTACGCCAGCATAAAACCCACCTCCCTATTTCTGCTTGTTAGGATTCTGGAAATGCCTCTTCAGCGGTGTCCAACTCTCATTGTTGTAATCCTCCTGCACCTTCTGGCACGTTTTGAGCCCCCACTCAGAAACACCCACCATCAACGTACTATCAAAAGTCAGCATGGGTTTTTTTCTTTTTTCTTTTCTTTTTTTTTTTTTTTAAAAATATATATATATATATATATTATTTGATTTCATCGCCCCTTCAAAGAATACGGCTTGAAGTCAATACGTACCTCTCAAACATAAATGCCAAGCTCCCTTCCCCAACCTTCTTCGGCAGCAACGGCGCATTGCTCGCGGCCTCATGCGTCATCGCATCCGGCCCATGCGCGCTCATAACGTTGTGCAGACTACCCCCCGCGGGCCTGAAGCCATCCCCACTCTTCGCATCGTAGTCACCGCAAATCAACCCCATGAATTCCGACATGGTATTCCGATGGTACCAGGGGGGACGGAAGGTGCCTTCCGCCACCAGCCAGCGGGGCGGGAAGATGACAAAGTCCGCGATGGCGGTGCCCGCATGGTCCGACGGGCCCGTGAGGACGGTGAAGATGGACGGGTCTGGGTGGTCGTAGGAGATGGAGCCGATGGTGTTGAAGCGACCCAGGTCGTATTTGTAGGGGTAGTAGGTGCCGTGCCAGGCGACTACGTCGAAGGGGGTGTGTTTCTGGCGGGCGATGAAGAGGGAGTTGTTGAACTTGGAGAGGATGGACCATCCCTTGAGGTTGTTGCATTTGCCCTCGTCGTCGATAAAGGAGGCGGTGGGGGCTTGGAAGTCGCGGGCGTTGGCGAGGCAGTTGGAGCCTATAGGGCCTAGTTCGGGCAGCTGGAAGTGGCCCTGGTAGAGTTCGCAGATGTAGCCGCGGACGGGGCCGGAGGGGAGGGTGACGCGGTATCTTTTTAGTATATGTTAAGTCAGTGCTTCATTCTAACTATAAATACTCTTTAATATTTTTCTCCTGCGCCATCTTTTTTTTTTAAAGAAAAAGAAAAGAAAAGAAAAGAAAAGAAGAAAAGAAAAGAAGAGGGAAAGAGAGTTATAACCTACTTGACACCACGGGGGATGACGCAGATCTCGTTTGGGCGGACGAGAAGATGGCCGAATTCAGTCTGGATATCCAGCACGCCATGTTGGGGGACGATCAGAAAGTCACCATCGGCAGAATAAAATGCCTCATTGCCCATATCCTTCCCGGCAGCGAAGAGCATGATTCCCAGTCCGGATTTCATGCTCGGGTCGCCCGCGGCGGCAATGAGATGCAATCCACGCACCCAGTCCACATGCTCGTCGAGGTCGAATGGGCTCCATCGCAGCTGGTTGGGGATCTGCTTGATCGAGTGGGTATCCTTTTTCAGGCTGGTGTGGTAGGTGGTGGGATCTACTTCTTTGAATGGCTCATGGGCAGCTGACGGTAAGATGCGGTAGAGCCAAGATTGCTGGTTTTCGTGGCGCGGGGCTGTGAAAGCTGTTCCCGAGAGCTTCTCAGCGTAGAGGCCGTAGGGGGGCTTCTGTGGAGAGTTCTGCCCCACCGGCAGGGCGCCTTCAATGGCTTCTGATCTGAGGCAGACATTAGATTTGGTTTCTCCTTTTCTACGTCCAAAAACCAGGGCTTACTCATGATAGGAACCAAAGCCGTTGAGGTAGGTGTATTTTTCCTTTGTTGAGAAGTTGGACACTGGCATGATCGTGGTATCTCTGGCTGGGCATATATAGGGAATACCTATTCCATCCACCTATGCACAGAGAGAGAGAGAGAGAGAGAGAGAGAGTTGCCGATGATGAAGTTCAGGAGAATATTGAGTGAATATCGAGTGAATATTGAATGACGGTTGATATCTGTGCAAGGTTGATGCAACCCAACAACCCTAGTTATATTTATACATATATATATTTATACATATATATATATATATATATATATATACGGGCAGCAGTATCATTTTCTTTATCCTGCAAGATTCAGGACATTGGCCCATTCGGATAAATTAGCATTAAGATTCTAAGATACTAAAGATATACACGCCGCCAGCGCTCTATAATTGGAGGTGCGTAAGACCTGATTAGGTGATTGATGGGGGGGGGTTGGTGTGTCTGTGCCTGTCAGTGTGTGCGCGCGTGTTGTTGTGTTTTAGGCCGGACCCTGCCGGTGCAGCAAAAGCCGAGCTGCCAGGCGAACTGTCGGTCAACGAGCGCTTGGGACTGGCGCGTCGGCTGTGACATGTCTGGGTTCGCCCCCGCTGCCGATGGTAAGCGTGCGGAGGACTTTCCGCACTTCTAGCGTTTGGTGATAAAACACTTGTTTGTAGTGGGTAAGCATGAGTATTGGGGGCGCCGCCTTTATAAGGCTGGGAACAAGAGCCCCGAAGGTGGGAAAAAAAAAAAAAAAAAAAGAAAAAAAGAAAAAGAAGAGGGGGGGAATGGGCCCATTCAGGTAGGGCAACGCCAGGCTTGCAGGTACGGTACGGTACGGTACGGTACGTTGTCTCCTTTCGCGGGCAGGAAAACGACACACCCGCGCTCATGAAATTGTTTTCTGTTTCCCTTTTTTGTCGTCTTTTCCGATCAAAATCAGCTTCGGGCTGCTGCAGTTACACCCCGTTGCAGCGGCTCTCGATTCCACCGCCCTTGCCACCAACCACATATCATACCTGTGCAGCAGCGATTGTCTCTCCTTCGGACTATCTCCATACTCTTTATCATGACGGCATTGTCTTGGCTCCGGATTCCCAAGGAGTCTCCCTTCTCCCTGGCCAATATCCCCTTTGGAATCATTTCTACCGCGGCCTCATCTACCCCTCATCCAGCAATTGCCATTGGCGACTATGCCCTGGACCTCTTCGTCTTCGCCTCGGGAGGCGGGTTTGCCCGATTGCACTCGTTCAACCACCTTGATGTTTTCTCCCAGCCAACGTTGAACGGCTTTGCAGCCCTTGGGAGACCGGTTCATCGCCAGGTGCGAGAATACCTGCAGGCTATTTTCAGAGAAGATACCCCTTACCCTGAACTACTCAAATCAAACGAAGCCCTCAGAAGCTCTGCCTTGATCCCCCGAAGAGACGTTACGAATCATCTCCCCCTCAGCATTGGCGATTACACAGACTTCTACGCCGGTCTCAACCACGCTTACAATGTGGGCGTTCTGTTCCGTGGGCCCGACAATGCCCTCCAGCCCAACTACAAGCACCTGCCAGTCGGATATCACGGCCGCGCATCATCAGTGATCGTCTCGGGCCAGCCCGTGCGCCGGCCGAACGGCCAGATCCTTGCCAACCCCGCAGCCAACCCCAAGGAACCCACCTTCTCCCCCTGCAGGAGACTGGACATGGAGCTTGAACTGGCCGTGTTTGTCGCCAGAGGCAACAAATTGGGCGAGCCAATCCCTGTCGACCAGGCCGAGGACTGCCTGTTTGGCGTCGTGTTGATGAACGATTGGTCAGCCCGCGACATCCAGGCGTGGGAATACGTGCCGCTGGGTCCGTTCAATGCGAAGAACTTCGCAACCACCATCACGCCCTGGGTTGTGTTGATGGATGCCCTGGAGCCTTTCCGGACTACGGGGCTGAACCCAGAAAGGCCGCTGCTCCCGTACCTCCAGGAGAAGAAGGCGGAGAATGTCTATGATATACCCTTGGAGGTGACTCTTGTCGTCAACGGCAAGCACACGAAGATTGCAGAGTCGAACTCGAAGAACCTGCTTTTCTCTTTCCCACAGATGCTGGCTCACCACTCGATTACGGGTTGCAACATGAGAACCGGCGACCTATTGGGTAGCGGGACGATCTCCGGCGAGAAGCCCGGGACGCTGGGCAGCTTGTTGGAGAGCACCAATGGTGGGAAGAATCCGATTACGCTGGCTGATGGGACGGAGCGGGTTTTCTTGCAGGATGGGGATGAGGTTATTCTGCGGGGCGCTGCGGGTAAAGAGGGAAGTTATGTTGGCTTCGGTGACTGTTCTGCTGTCATTTTGCCAGCGCCTAGGCTCTAGGGATTTTATATAACAATACTGTTTGGTTGTTTGATTTGTTATGATACATAGAGTCATTTTCTTTATGAAAAATATATATACTTGTGTTTCTTCTGATCAGATAGCTAGATGGATGCATGTTAATTTCCAGTTGAACCCAGTACACCCAACCATTGCTAATATTGTAAAATATTAAAGTGGTGGTTTAAATATAAAAAAAGAAAGAAAAAAAAAGAAAAAAAAAAGAAAACTACCCCCTCAACTCCTCTGGGGTATCAGGCTGCCGACTCCAATGCGCCTTCTGAACCGCCTCCAGCCCCTCCAGCCTTTCAAATACAGCCTTCACCGTCGGATACGGCGAGAAGTCCACGTCAACCCTCTGCGCGGCCCACACCGCCGGGACCAGACATACATCTGCCAGCGTCACGGCATCACCAACACAGTACGTGCCAGCCCACTGGCTCACCAGCTTCTCCAGCGCCGTGAATCCATCGATGTTCAGCTCGCAAGCCCAGGCGGTATTATCGCCCCCGAAGGCCTTTACCTTCTTCTGAATGCGCAGGTTCGTCACGGGCTGGATGTCGCAGGCTATGATGTTGACGAGCGTGCGGACACGGGCGCGGAGCTGAGGCGCCGACACTGGGGGCAGCAGGGCGGGTTGCGTAGCGATGTCCTCGAGGTATTCGAGCGCGGCGATGGATTGGGTGATTGGGAAGGATGTCTCGGCGCTTGTGGGAGGATCAGGGGAGTGGGTATTGGTATCCTCCTTCGCAGTGACGGCGAGGACGGGCACAGTTGCTGAAGGGTTGAGGGAGCGGTGGGCGTCGGAGAGCTGCTCGCCCTTGAGCAGGTTTACGAAGGTTGTGGTGTGGTGGAGCTGTTTTAGGTTGAGGGCTATACGGAGGCGGCCAGCGCAGGAGGAGCGGAAGTAGCTGTACAGGTGGAGCTGGGGGGAGGGGGACTGGGCGGGGGATGAGGTGGAGGACATGTCGGATTCGGATTCAGGGTGTGGTTGGTGTGGATTTGAGGTTGTTGCCGAGGCAGTGGATATATATAAGTGTTTATGCCGTAACTATTGCTCTGGTGGTTGATTCGGGAGAAAGGTCTGGGTAGCAATTCTACGGATCAGTGGGTGGGATTGATTGATATGAACGTGCAACTTTTTTTCACTTGCAGTCAACAATATAGACTTCCACGCATGTCTGGGTGGCATGGGATGAATGCAGTTGGAGCGGTTGTATTCGGTGATTGGCAATTACCACGCTGGGGTTTGCCGGAACTTCGTCCGCGCCCACTTTTTTTTACTTTTGTACATTCTCCCAACTCTATTAACCAGTTTAATGTCGATAATTAAATCAGTATTAACGTTAATAATAAATAGCTAAACTTATTATTACTCAATTCCGCTATTTGGGCATGGGGAATTGCGGGGAGCGAGGGGTAACGTGACGAACAGCCAGCCTGTGCCCCGCTCGCTCGCTTTCCCAGATATTCGACCGTTAATACATCCCATACACGTACCAAGGTCCAGGTCCAGGTCCAGGTCCAGCTCAATAGGTTGCCCGGCTATTGGTTGCTTCGAGTTCGGAGGAATTGCTCTGAACGGAGTTGAGTAGATATTGGGTTGAAGAACTAACTACCAGAGGAGTTTAATGATGCTTCCAGCCATGCTCAATGGAGCGAGGATGGCATATCTCGCCGGAAAAAACTACGCGCGCCTCTGTACACTCGAATCAGATAGTTAGGTTACCCTTCCGGAGATGGTGAGATGTACCGGATCTCGGGCTGGGGGTTAAGCTGTTTTGGTTTGTCCTGGTCTCCGTCCCAGTCGATCTTCATTCATATCAACGCAGACAGCAATTGATGGAGTAAATAAAGGGGGACCGGATCCTTGGGGTGTGCGCTGGTTGCAAAAGCGGTTGGCAAGTCACAATGAACAACATCAACCTTTTGTAGAATAACTGGAGTCTGAAGAAGGTTGATTTTTTACATGAGTATCAAAGAATCACCAGCAAACAAATTGTCCCTGCTTAACCCGTCCTTCTTTCATGCACAGAGCACATCAAACACTGCTCTATATTCATGGCCATTATTGGTGTTCTCAGTGCTGGACCACATTGTCTCTGGAGTTGTGTCCCTATCTCTCAGTTGTTCAGTTCCATCATCAGCTTTTTAATCCCCATCACCCGGTCTGCTTAATCGTGCATCCCAGTTATGAAAAATGCCCATCACCTGGGCATCATCCATCAACAACACCAAAATCCCTTCATCTCATCGTTATCTCCATCTCCTTCCTCTCCTTCTCCTTCCTCTCCATCTACTCCTCCATTGAGTCTCTCGTTTCTCCCCTCTTTCCCCCCCCCCCCCCGCCCCTTTTACCTGACCTGACCAAACTTCAGGAGATCATCCCAGCCTCTGCATCTAGCTCCTCTCATCTGTATCAAAGGTATCCAGGGGCTACATCAACCTCACCAACCAAGTCCCTACCATTGCCCAACCCGTAAGGAGCTTTCCCTTCATTCACTCCGTCCGCGTTCTCGTGTGTCGCGTCAAAAAGTTTTGAGTCCACACGGTCGTGGCCTGTCCTTCACCCCCTTTTTGGCAACTATCAACCGTCGAGAAACCCTACCAGTCTCCATTGACAACCTGTCGAGATGGATGAAAAGAAGGCTGAACCCGATATTTGGGCCAAAATGCCCTATGATGATGTCCAGTGCTTGATCTTCGAAGCAATCGCCGTGTCTCGATGACGTGGAGACCCAGGAGGATTGGAAGAATGTGTCATAGGCGCGCGTTTTTGGTTTGCAGTAAGTACATATATATCTCGTGTTGCTGTGCTTCTCTTTCAATTCCCCTCCAAAGACGTAACTGACAACGTCCGCTCAGAGGACTGGAACTGGTCCATCAAGCGACAGCTGCTTCTCACAAATACCCCTGCTGATAAAATCCTCAAGTTTGGCAGCGAAGGAATCTTCTGCCTTGACAAATTGAGAGCCACTCTCCCTCTTGTCATGGGGTATGAGCTCAACTCAAAGCATGATTACGATCTTGATGCCGACATGGATGATTACCCCGAGCTTGTTGAAGCCAAAAAGAGAATCATCACAGTCGGGCACTCTGTGTTTAGGTACAAAATTAGACGTCAACGTCGCCCAGTCACCTCTGGAACGCCCGAGGCATGGATGCAGGAGGGCCACTTCTATCCGTGGGTTTACCACTTGCATGCGTCTGCTCCTGGGCCGGGGTACAAGCGTTATCCGTGCAGGTGGACAATCCAATCTGATGAACTTGTCCACGGAGCATGGCCAGCTGGGTTCTCTAACCTTTCTTCACCGCTATGGCGTCCACCAGGTCGAATTCTACGGAAGGGGAGAGCATCCGGTAGCTTTCGCCATCCACAAGCAAAACTTGGAATTCGTCGACGCTCTGCTCAGTCTTGGGTTCAAATCGGCCGTTTTGGTGCGTCCCCGCGAGTCTTCCGTCGAATGGTTAACGCCAATCACCCATGCCGTCCAATTTGGGGACCACAGATTGGGCCTCCGTTCTGTTTCGCTACATCAGCCCCGAATGAGGAAGAGGGTGTCATTGGCTTGACTCCATTGGTCAGATCCATTTTGAAAAACGATGTGCCGATGATGAAGCGTCTCCTTGATCATGCGGTACATGTCAATCCAGTTCACAACAAGACCATTCTCCCACTCGGAGTAGCCGTGGCGAACAACAACGTCGAAGCTGTCGAGCTGTTGCTCGACCTTGGGGCGGATATTGATGACACCGACGCTTATTTCTACAACGCCCTGGACTTTGCCATCCACAACAATCTCGAAAATATGGCTGTCCTGCTCCTCAACCGCGGTATCCGAGTCACGACATACAACGTCAAGCTCGCGGCGCGTTTCAGCACACTTGATGCCCTTGTCAAGCTCATCGAGCGTCCAGGGGTTGCACCACATTTTGAAAAATCCAACGGACTCATAACCCGTGTTCCTGACCGCAACGGCAGACTTCAGGTACTTATGCGCGATAATCCCCGCGTTCTGGCCTACATCTCGACCACGAGCGACAATGTGGCGAAATACGTCACTCTTGTCAAGGGGATCTTCGCAAAGTATCAGCGAGACATTGCGAAAATCACGTCAAAATCTGATTGTTCGAACCAAGAATCCCATGCTCTTGCACCTTGCCGTGAAAGCGGGTCTTACTCGTGTTGTTGAGGACATGCTTCAAGCCGGTGCTGATCCAAATGCGTTGGCTGCCATGAACCCCAAGCGTTCGACCCTCCAAACTGTCATTCGCAAACAGAATCTGCCCATCATCCGCTTGCTGCTCAAGAAAGGTGCCGATGTGAACTCCAAGGGTGGACGCCATGGCTCCCCATTGAATGCTGTGAAACACGTGCGCAATAAGGCTATTCTGCGTATGTTGATAGGATACGGCGTCATCTATGATAGCTCAATTGTCAACGAGTACGCAGCCTGGCCCGAGCTGGAGACCAAGGTGGTCAAGACAAACAACAAGGAGCCGAAGTTTTCGAGCCTGAAAGCAAAGTTGCCTTCTCTTCGCAACATCTTTGCACGCACAATACAATGTCTGCACCGCAAGTAGGGGTGGGGAAGTCACTTTGCTGGGCCGGAAAAATGATGGAACGTTGATGGGTACTGGGACGCACCCACGCAGACAAAATCTCAGGTTCAACGTGGATTGAGAAGGCTAAGTCGATTTACAGGATAAGCATCCAAGCACAGCATTCCGTGTGTTCTCTTTCCCTCTCGCGGTTTCCACGAGATGATTTTCTTCGATCCATGGATTTTTTCTTTCTTTCTTTTTTTTTTTCTTTTCTTGCGTCAAATGATGTTTGGTTGTTTTTACTGGAAATTCTGATCTCAACAGAGAATTTTTCCCCTCCTTTGAGGAGTGATTTCGTCCACCATGGTTTTCTATTCTTCTTTTGCGACCGATTTCGATACCATACTGTACTATTTTTCCCGATTTTATCCGATGAGGCGATTTCCAGAAGCACTAGCTTTCCATGTTTTTAAATTTTATATGATTCTCCCAGTCTGGCCCAATTTTCGCAAAAATATTTTCCGGGTTTCACTTTCTCTGGGTGAAGGTGATCCGAGATGTCCCACCGATGGTGCTCTTTTTTTTTTTCACCGAATGGCGTTTTCAATTGTCATTCTTTTCCTATATTAAAAACGTTATCTGATATCCCTCTATGCTGCAACATCGTTTCAACAGATGGCACTTTTTCAGAGGCGATACGAAATTGGGATTTCCCAGGTTGTGATCTGGAAGCATGCTGATGAGAAGTCAAGGACATAATTCTGGGATATGCCTGATTTATACCCCATAGTTAGTTTAACAAAGACTAACCTAATGTCCAAGAAATGAGAACTTTTCAGTTAACATGACAAGACTCCTCCCTAGGATGTCAGAATGTTTCCATTCCTCATTTCTCTCTTTGCAGGCTCCCTCTTCGGAATTCGAACTATTCCCAAGTCTCAGATTCGCTTAAGAGACTTGGATTTTCCACCGCCGGTCACTTCTCCCGGACTCAACCAGCCCATCCGCCTTGAGGGTGGACCGATCTTGCAAACGAACCTGCAGAAGGGATAGGGGATGGTGAGATGCAGCTAAGTGGTTGCAAAGGTTCTCAACCCTACGAGGGATAACTATGGCTGGTCACCGTTTCCTCGGCGGCAGGATCTGCAAACTCAGCCAAAAAAAAAAAAAAAAATTCCAAGACAAGGTAAAGCAACAAACCAACCAAAAAAAAATAATGATAATGAAAGGGGGAAAAGGAAAAGACTAAGGATCAACAGATAATTTTGACAATTTAATACGTGGACGTTAATCTATTTACGCCAAAATCCCAATAGTCGGGCCCTATAAAAATTGCCCTGCTGCAAACTACAGAGTTAAATATCTGTCCCAAATTTTGTGCCAGAAAATGGTTGGATCCAAGGACATTAGAAGCCTGGAAATACCTTAAGAAAGTCAATCATCCGAGTTGAATAACCCAAGATTGCATACATGGCAGGTTTAAATGTGCATCAGCTGCACTATCTTCGATCAACTATGGAGTAGTCAATGAGACTCGATCATTTTGATGAAGAGAATGAAAACCCTGGGTGGAAGCTCTCCCAAACTGCGCTCTGAACATGCGAGAGTATTACTAATTGCGATATACGCATGGGCATCTGCTATCCCAGCCATCGAGCAGTATGAGAAAGTTGGAAATAGTGCCACCCGCAATCAAGGAGATTAGAGAGAAAACAAAGATCAGTCACGAACTAAGATAATGCAGGTTACGCGCGTACGGCAAGTTCATCAACTAGCCAAGCAACTCAAAAGGGTTTATCCCGCAATTGAGCAATTTTCTGCGGGCCAATGACATCTTGAGATCCCCAGAATTCCATTTGCAAGTCTGATGGGATGGCACACTCTCAGTTGGACAATGCATAAACTTCCAGCATGGACTATGGACAGCGGAAATTTTAGAATCAATTCAAGTGAAAGCAAGATATAGATCCAGAGATATCGTTTGAACAAGAAGCCTACAATTCCGCCGTTGCAGGGGAACAAGATATACGGTCTTGCTAAATTCGACGCTTGTTCACAGAATCACAACTCACTGCTACAACATGACCTGGCGCACCAGAACCCTCGGGTCATGCTCATTGATAGCTTAGGGTGGAACAGCTACCATGAATCAATTTATCTTCTGATGTTTCATAGCCGATTTCTGAACCCTGTATCAGCCCCGCAGAAACACTTCGTTCATTTGTGGGGAAGATGTATCTCAGGAGAATCGATGAAAACGGCTTGGAGGCCATGGTTCCGATTCCGGATGAAAAACCCGCAATGTAACCACAAGAAATCAAACAAGAATAAATGAACAATAATGAAGCATCCTTGTTGCTTGCTCTTTGGGTTGCTCTTTGGGTTGACTAACGATCCGACCCGCTATCGCTTACTTCCGCATGATTATTTGACTAACCTAAAATTTCCCCATACCTCCGTACACGGCTGGGTAGTCACAAGCACGTCCTTTGGGGCCCTGCACCGAGCAAGTTGCATTAAAATCATGGGAACTCCGCCCATTTTGTACGGAGTATGGAGTATTGACAATTTCATGGATTTTGGTCTGGTGTTTGGGGATATATTGATTTCCCGCCACACTCTTGTATTATTTGGCGTCCTTTCACTTAACTAGCGTGGGCGTGGGGATATGCGGCCCTGCAGATCGCTGCGCACGGAGGATATGAACATCTGCCCCATTTTTATATCTGGAATGAGTTTTTTTTTTTTTTTTTTTTTTTTTTTTTTTTTTTAATTCTCGGGTTCTCCACTTCTTTTCTCGCCCCATATTTTTGCCGCTCCTTTCCTATGATATTCAGAACTAATATGATGGTTATCTGTATAACCCCAAATTTTAACATCAGCGAGATACTGGTAATTATTTGTGCACCCCAAATGCAATAATAGTTGAGGGGCCGATTCAGGCTCGCAGAGTAATGAACGTCTGCAAAGAGAACACGGAGAAACCAGAAGTTTTAATGAAATATATAACTGCCTAGTTAAATGGCCCTGGCAATGAGATTCCCGAGCAAAGCCGTGCTTCGCAATTAGTCACACGTTAAAAGAATATGACACTCGACTGCCCGTTGAAGTGGAGCCAAGAACATATATAAGAGAGTCAAGATCCTGGCCGGTTGGTTGGTTGTACAGTCCAGAGAATGCAGCGGCAATTACCTATGGCAAAGCATGCAGATGGTATCAAGACAGCTGGCCCCCAACTAGCTTTCCCCGGTTCGAACATGTGGTTGTAGAAAAGCAGCTAAACGAGCTGGCCAGGATTAACTGACAGGGTGGACTTGTTGTATCATCAAATCTGCCGATTGTAATTGTCAAAACATGATGTAAAAGGAATGGATAGTATCTAAAGTCACTAAATTTGCGAAACAGTCTTGTTATCTGCCGTCAAGAAGGCAAACTACCCGACGAGAGCATCCACGATCTAATAGTCAGGTTACCAGAGGAGGGCGCTAGTGAGTAAAATATTGGGTAGTTCTAGAAGACTCAAAGATGAGGACAGCTGCAGGATACACATTCTGCTGAACCACACCTAAGGTGAGTACGAGGCGTTGTCCCGAGTTTTCTTCAAAACGCACAAGCCGCAGGATTCCAGAACCACCACCAAAAAAATGGCGAGATGGGAGAAGCAGTATTCGTACATAAACCTCCGATGAACGCACATTCCAAAGCCCCTGCCCTTTCATCTGGTTGACTCGAGTACGTCTCTTTTTCTTCTCCTCCTCCTCCTCCTTCTTCAATTTATACACCAAGCTCCATTGGGGATTTTGGGCTAGGAGAACGATGTGGACGAAATGGTTCTTTTGAAAGCAAAACGATCTCTGAGTGTGGTTGTCGTTGGGTACGTATAGGTGATATATTTAAATGTTCATTGACATTAATATATACCGTCATCTCCACCTCAGATATCGGTTTTGAGCTAACCGGGCGAGATAGCGCAGGTATGAAATCAAGATCCGGGAGGAGAACATAATCAACGGGTGGAAAAGATGAATTAACTTGTTATCTTCGTTGAAGGTATTGGAGGGTTGGCAACGGCAATATCTTTGGCAATTCGGGGGCACAGGGTGCTCGTCCTCGAGATTTTACCAGAGGTATGTGAAACGTGCCTGTTAGCCGGTGGAATAGTGGATGGCGGAAAGGAGAACGCTGACCGCTTCAACAGATCCAGGAGATCGGTGCAGGAATCCAAATTGCTCCAAACATGCGTAATATCCTTGCTCGTAAGTGATCTCTCATCGAATGTTTAATTCTTTCAGGCTAACATTCAGTGCCATAGGCTTGGGAATCGAGCCCGCGATCCAAGCGAAAGCTGTTGTCCTTGAGACAATAGAGGTTGTTCGATGGCAAAATGGCAAGGTCCTGAGCAAAATCCCCGTTAATCACCAATACGGCAAAACTGCAGTCATACACCGGGCGGATCTCCAGAGAGCCCTTATTGACAGGATATCCGAGCTGGATAATATTGAGATGCGACTCGGCGCAACAATAACTGATATTGACTTCGATCGCACAGCAGTTTGGCTTCAAGATGGTGAAATGGTAACTGGGGATGTGATTGTTGGAGCAGATGGGATCAAATCCATGATCAGAAACAGGATGATTCCGGACAGGGCCAACGGAATACTGCCTACCGGGGATAGGGCATTCCGAATCCTCATACACCGTGAAAAAATGCTTCGAGATAAAGAACTTGCAAAATTAATAGACAAGCCAAAGGCAGTAAGGTGGGTCGGCCCGCATCGACATATCGTAGGCTATCCTATACGCAACCACCAACTGTACAATGCAGTTTTCATTCATCCCGACAACGGGAGCGTGGGAGAATCCTGGACAATTCCCGGGACAAAAGAGGAGATGATGGAGATGTTCTGTGGCTGGGAACCTCGAGTATTGAAGTTGATAGAAGCTTCGACTCAGGTGTTGAAATCAAAACTTTGTTTACATCCGCCATTGCTAACCTGGGTAAAAGGTTCGTGCACTCTAGTTGGTGACGCATGTCATCCCATGCTGTAAGTTGCAGGCATCCAGATCTAGGTGGCAAGCCACATGCATGGATCAACCGATTGCTGATTCGCGCAGGCCCTATATCGCTCAAGGCGCTGCCCAGGCACTTGAGGATGCAGCCGCTCTTGGGGTAATCCTGTCCAACATATCGAGCGTGAAAAGCATCCCGTTTGCTCTTGGCGTGTATGAGAAGTGTCGGAAAAAACGTGCAGAAGCCGTCCAGCAGTCTGGTACTGCGAATAGAATTCCCCTTCATCTTCCTGACGGGCCAGAGCAAGTCGCAAGGGATGAACGGTTTGCAACCGTGATGAAAGGGGATAGCAGTCCGGATAAATGGAATGATCGGGAAACACAGCAGCTGCTCTGGGGCCATGATGCAGAAGAAGCTGCAAAGAAATGTTGGACAGGTATGCATGTCCCAAAGAGGGTATATAAAAGGCTCCAACAACCTATTCAGATGATCTGTTGTCAAGTCGCCCCTCGTTGCATAGCTAACGACATTAACTGTTTCTAGAATGCACAAGGGTGAAATGCCACCACCACAGTCTAAGCGCGAGACTGTGACATCAAGTGAAGCGCGGCGGAATTTACCAGACACGCAGCAATTGATACGCGCTCTCAATACTACGGTCGATCGACAACTAGGTGGCCGTCACGTTGTGGCTGTGTCAGAATGTGTATCCTCGGAGGCTCTCGAGAATTCATCCTTGCGGCGCTGTGCTTTTCTCACAGTCCGAAGTTTCGTGAGCAGCCACAGATGTGTGTCATTCAAGAGGGGGTGTTGATTTGAATAAGGAGCATGTTAGTGTCGGCGAATATATATGACTAAAATCGCCCAAGGCGTCGTATAAAGATTGCTCTTTCTGGCCCGGTAGTTTTCTCACGTAGGCTGGCCATCACCAAGAAGAGGCTAACAGCATCACTATCACTAATTTTTTTTCTGGTATGTTGTAGATAAGGCAACCAACCAACCTTGTGGACCTTGCTGGTGGTCTTAGATCCACGCCCAGAGGACGGTTAACTTGTCTGTCCGGGTCCACATCCATAGCAGATAGAAGCAGTTATCCCTGCTTGGTGCCCTAGAAATGAGAATTCCACGAATTGTGCGGGCCGAATTGCACGCGTCGAGCTCCGGGGCGACTGATCCGAAATATGGATGGATTGCTGTGATGATGATGATGATGATGATGATGATGATGATGATGATGATGATGATGTCGCATTCATGAAGAAACTGATTGACGAGTAAATTAACTAACTCGCTATTTAGCTAGCTAAGCGTCTTAACGATGAACTACAGGAACCCGAGAAGTGAGAAGTGGATGCTGGAGTGATATCTTCCAAGGCGAGTTAGCTCTTCCTAATCATTACTCAATTTTTCAAAGGCCCGTATCCAGACATTCGGTGCTCCCCTCATGCGAGAGTTTACATGACTATTCGTTCAGTTGATCAACTCACTATTTGATTAGGGACATGTTTCCAAGGTTTCATACAAGTTCTTCCGAGGTTCCAGCTTAAAATTTAACTATAAGCGATTAACCTACGCAGTGGACTGCAACCCCCCAGCCCTGTTAGCGGGTTACGGACGCGGGTAAACCTGGGCTTTTTTTACTATTTAGTTAGTTAGGGCACCTGGCTTGTCTCTGAATTTGGTCACCTGTGGGCCAATATGGATGCCCCCGATCAGATCGAGTGGAGATTTGATTTCAAAGCATGGCATTATTCCTCAGTGTTTGCCATTCATTGAGTATGTTTCGCCGTTTTTTTCTTACTCATTCGCTCTGGCGAAGCAGAATCTAAAATTCTATATCAGCGCCTGTTTGCAGTGGTCCTCGTTTGAGCTGCCTGGTGGATCGCATTCTCGCCCATCTATTCCCATCTACGAAAGAAGGCTCAGCAGCGCCCCAATATTGTACCTGAAACAGTGATTTCCACAAGCTCTCATCGCCCATCATTAGAACATGCCATCCCAGAATATCGTTCGGAATGACCCCACGCCCGGGGTGGGGTATTTCACTCCATATCAAAATCCCCCCTCCGGGACCGCTGCCGACCCCCAATCTGATGGCTCCCGGCCACCCAGGCTTTTCCAACCTTTGAAAGTGAGGGGCGTAACCTTCCAGAATCGCATTGGGGTATGAATTCGATCGATTATCTCGTGCAAATGTTAATATCCAATACTGATGGAATGAGGGTCCATAGCAGTCTCCACTATGCCAATATTTTGCGCAGGATGGACATATGAGCCATCTCGGAGGAATCGCCATGAGAGGACCCGGTTTTATCATGACGGAAGCAGTATCGGTTCTTCCCGAAGGTCGCATCTCACCGGAGGATGTAGGCTTATGGAAGGATTCGCAAATTGAGCCGATCAAACGAGTGGTGGAATTTGTGCACAGCCAGAATCAAGTAATCGGCATTCAACTTGCGCATGCAGGGCGCAAGGCGAGTAGCTTGGCTCCTTTCCTGGCAGTAAATAAAGTTGCAACGGAACAAGCAGGTGGCTGGCCAAAGAATGTCAAGGGACCCAGTGATATCCCGTTCTCAGCCGAGATGGCGCAACCAAAAGCAATGACGAAACGGGATATTGAGGAGGTGAAGGAAGCATGGGGTGCTGCCGTGAGACGTGCAGTGAAGGCGGGTGTGGACTATATCGAAATACACAATGCGCACGGCTACCTCCTCTTCTCATTCTGCTCACCAGCCTCAAACAACCGCGCAGATGAGTACGGGGGTAGCTTCGAAAATCGTACCCGTCTTAGCAGCGAGATCGTTACCATTACCCGCCAGAACATGCCCGAAGACATGCCCCTGTTCCTGCGGATTTCCGCCTCGGAGTGGCTGGAGGAATCCCGTCCGGACCTCCAGAGCTGGAAATCTGAAGATACCGTACTATTTGCAAAAATCCTCGCAGAGAAAGGGGAAGTCGATTTACTGGACGTTAGCTCGGGTGGGAATCACCCCGATCAAAGAATCAAGCCAGGGCCATGCTTCCAAGCCCCCCTTGCGTTTGCGGTGAAAAAGGCTGTGGGAGACAAACTTCTCGTTGGATCGGTCGGGATGATTAATAACGGCAACGATGCGAATAGGCTGATAGAGGAAGGGCTTGATATTGTATTTGTTGGTCGGCAATTCCAGAAGAACCCGGGCTCCGTATGGCAGTTTGCAGAGGATTTGGGCACTGAAATTAAGGTTGCAAACCAAATCAGATGGGGCTTTGGTATGAGAGGCTCCAAGGGGTTTTTGAAGACGAAGAAACGAGATGTGAAGATCTAGGATAACTTTGATAAAAAAAAAAATATGGATACAGTGGTGAGAGAATGAATGATTTGCCTGCACGCCTATGAATGTCATGGGTTATGGTTAAGCGTGGGATGGAGCAGGTTTGATGATCTTCAGAAATGCAACAACTTCTTGGTATCTTCTCATTGACTTGTAAATAGAATCGTCTGGATCATATAACTCCATAGATGGTGCAAAGAGAGAACACTATACGGATACACATAAAATTTCTGTTTTCACTGTCATCTTATATCCTCTGCAAGCGACGTCGGATCTTCTTTTCTTCAGTCTCTCATTGCAGACTACAAACCTTCAACAATAGGAAGCTCAAACTAACTATCCCTTCCGCCCCTTGGCAAACCACTGTAGCTCGAGGTAAATTCCCTTCATTAGTAGGCTTTTGCCATCGCTAAAACTCCGGGGATTGTAGAAATCTCCAGTGTGGACCTCCTCTTGGACGCAACAACAGCTTCCACGTAATCTCAACGCTATCCACAACTGTACCTGAGTACATTTATCCTCTCCTCCCGCCATGACAACTATGTCCTCCTCTTGATCCCTTCTTTCATTTCGTACCAGCGGTAAAAGGTGCGATCATGCAATTCACCACAATAGACGACAGACCCGAAGCTGCATTTATTTGGATGCAAAGAACGCAGAGAGCGGCTTCGCCAAGTGGAAGAGGCGCGCTGCGCTGCTAAGGTTACCTCTATCTCGTGGGCATGTCTCTAGCTAAGCGACATGACGGCACTTCGATGGATGGTGCATTCGATATAAGGCCCCGACTCTCACTTGTTGCTTGGGCATCACTTCTCACAGAGGCTTACCCCGGCCGTGAGGTTCGACGGTGTGCATCTAAAGGTAAATCTGCCGTCTGTCTTCCCTCAGCCGCGGTGATTGCCCACCGTGATACCCTTATATAGGAATCAGGATCGACTTCTATAGTTATCCCCAACTTGTACCGCGAAGGATGTAACTGCCAATGCAAAAGTCAGACTGTCTTGCGTCTTCAATCCGGTCCTAGTTTATAACAAGTTTGTAGTTCCGTGAAAGAGATCAGAATCAATGATACTCCCGTCATGTCAATGGTGCACATATATCCCATGTCGTTGGACATTCTAGAGACTCCTCCCTCCTTCTCGAGGGACCCCCCCCCCCCCCAACGCCTCAATACAGAGACGCAGGCATTGGTTAGTTATACGCTGAGATCAAGATCATCCTTGAAATTCACCACTCGGATGCCGGGCCCTTAAAACGACTTGACACCAGACTTCTTGAGATAAATAGCTACTTCAGCAGTTAACCACACTGGGCTGCGAGGTTGAAGTTAATGAGACCTTCAACCAGCCTGCGGAAGTTGACAATGTTGTCACCTTGACGTGCATTAGTTAGTTATTAACTACTTATCCCCTCGTCCGTCTTTTGTTGCACAATTAGCGTGGTATCACTAGGCGTAAAATAAAGGCATTTGTCAGCATGTCTCAACCAATAGGTTCACGCACTATTTTGTATGGGCTGCTATTGGTCACTACAGATCCACACTTTCGCGATTTTCATGTAAGCAGAAAGTGCGTTGAGAATTCAGACCTACCTACATGCCTACCATGGAGCCCTACCCACCTGCAAATATGGAACCTACAGGGAATTCAGATGATTTTCTAGAATCCTGATCTTAATCTATGCATCAAATAACTAATATATTCTCTAGAGTCTATGAAAAAGCCAGGTAGAACCTCGACAAAGTGAAAATGAGTAATTGAGGAAGTCATTGCAGAGATACCACCTCTAGAATCAGTCAAATTTCTTCCTCTAGAACCTAGTTCACGGCTGCCAAATCTTCATATTCCACCAGATGTTGGTGTTCAAAGCCCCTATGCCTTATTTACCTTATTCTTCTCTGAAGATTCCATTCGTAATATCGTCAATTCAACCAATCTCTATGCAAAATTGAAGGGAGATGATGGAGATACTGATAATGAAGCTCCAGAGAGCTTTGAGAAGGATAAGGAGAAGGATAAGGAAGAGGAAATCCCTATGGAAGCTTCTGCAGAACCCTCTATATTTATGGAAACATCTAAGGAATTGAAGACCTCTATTCAGCAATGTCCATGGAAAAAGACCACTTCAGAGGAAATAAAGGTCTTTTTAGGAGCTCTTATCTATATGGGGATTCATAAATCCAGCTGGACTGATCATTATTGGAGGAATAATCTGAGAGAAGGTCCTATTCATTCAGTTCAATCCTATATGACCTTGAAACGTTTTGAGCAAATCAAGCACTATTTCCATATATCCAACCCTCGAGAAGCTCGCCAGCCAGATTCTAAGAATAAAGATTGGTGATATAAGATAGAGCCTTTGACTTCTAACTTCCATAATGCCTGCCAGAAATATTACACCCCTGACTCAGAGATTTCCATTGATGAAATCATGATTAGATGCTTTGGTTGAAGTCAGCACACATATAAGATGCCTGCTAAGCCAATTCCTCAGGGATATAAGGTCTTTGGACTAGCAGAACATGGATATCTTTGGACATTTTCCTGGTCTAGCCGCCGGCAGGGCATAATGCCTATGTTTCAATTTCCAGGAATTACCAGAACTGGATCCATGGTCATGAATATGATTCAGCGGCTTCCTAAGATCCCTATTATTAGACCTACTGAGGAATCGGATACTAGACCCCCTACTGAGGAATCGAATACTAGACCCTACTGAGGAATCAAATACTAGACCTCCTACTGAGACTCCTATCATTGAAGCTTCTATCATCAAAGCCCTCCCTACTAGTGAAGCTCCTACTAGGCCTTCTGCTGAAGAGTCAGCTAATCAACAAGTCACTCCATACTCAATTTACCTAGACAACTACTCTACCTCTGTTCAATTATTCCACCTACTTTGAGAGCATGGCTATGGAGCTTGTGGGACTACCTGCTCTAATCAGGTTCTCCCTATTCTAGCAGAGCTTTGAGAGCATTCAAAAGAGTATTCTATGGAATACTCTACATGCTATGGAAGTGAATAAGGTCCTCTGTCTAGCCTGGCAAGACAATAATATGGTATTAGCTCTTACTACTATTCATTCTTTGGACACCTTCATTGAACAATTTTGAAGACGGCCTGGAGAACTCTCTACCAATGCTCATATAGTCCACCCAGTCTTTGAGAATCAACCTAGGAAGAACCTTCAGATTCCAAAGATTATTGATGACTATAATCATAATATGAATGGAGTAGACCTAGCAAATCAGTATAGAGCTTCCTATAGCTCTCATAGAGTGAGCTATCAGACCTGGTTGCCTATTTTTCTATTGGATTCTGGATGCTGCTGTTGTCAACGCGTGGAGGCTTCAGTATATATATATATGAAGCAGCAGGGAGTCTCTAGGCTACCTACTCATATAAGCTTCTGTGAGAAGCTCTATCAGCAACTCTTTGAATTCAATTTGAAGATCCATGATGATCTACCCCATGAGTGATCAAATCTAGAGCTTATTCATCAATGAATTTCTCTACCAAAGCCTACAATTTGTGTCTGGTGTTGATATATGCGAAAGCTAGGTCAGCAGGAGAGTAGACAAGCTCCTAGATCAAGATCTGGATGCTCAGCATGTAAGAATGTGGCTCTTTGCTTGAAAACTAGATGCTGGGAGGAATTCCATGGCATTGGCCAGAGCTGAAGAATCTATATAACGTAATTAGGCTTAGCTTATTATAATACACTAATACCAAATAGTACGCAATATTACACCATTTAGCCAATAATATCACGTATAATATACACTAATGAAATCGCGCTAATTGTGCAACAAAAGATGGACGAGGGGGATACACGCTCAACTTGTAAACAAAATTGCTTCACCCGGGGGGATCATATTCAGTTACATGGCTGACGCCCCGTCCCGAACGACGGGCAGTTGTTCTATTGGCGGCATTCTCCTCAAAGCCCAAACAGGGTTCTGAAATCCTGGATCCAAGGGGCATCAGCACCACGGAAAGCTTAATTGCCCCAGCCGGAACCTTTAATTTTAGAAAAAGACCAATCCGGAGCGAAGCGTTGGGGCTTACTCTACCCCCCACGGTATACCAATGAGTTTAAGGCTGCTCTCATTCCCACTGGGTTTCTTCCAACAAAGCCCTCAGTCGGCTTGTCTGTCTGCACCCGTGAAACATGTGAAGACTAATCAGAATTGGTGATAATTCCACAGCTTTTGTTGGTCGCATCCATTTCAATTACTACCTATTATTATTATTATCTTCCCCTCCCAGTAGTTAGCTGGCCGACGCCCTGGCACACCGATTGTAATAAAAAAAAAAAAAAAAAATGGCGTCGATGAGGCTACCTGCGCTCGTGAGCAAAAGCGTTCGACGCACTTACGGCCCAATTACACAAAACCGAGCGGCAACATCTATATCTCCGGCGGCTGCGTCAATACCAAAAGTCCTGCAAGATGCGCTTGCCGCTGAAGGTCCCCGCATCAATTGGACTCGGGATGAAATCAGACAGATATATGATACCCCCCTACATCAGCTTACCTATGCCGCAGTACGAGTTATCCCTAACCGGAAAAAGAGCCACACTCATTACAATAGTTACTTGACCGCAGGCTAGAAGTGTGCTAATGGTTTTCCCCGGTGCCCACAGGCCATTGTCCACCGGCGATTCCATGACCCCTCGGCTATCCAGCTCTGCACTCTAATGAATATCAAGGTCGGCGGATGTACGGAAGATTGCTCGTATTGCTCACAATCCTCACGATACAACACCGGCCTGAAAGCTACGAAAATGAGCACTGTCGATTCCGTTCTTGAAGCGGCCCGCATCGCGAAAGAAAACGGTAGCACGCGCTTCTGTCTGGGAGCAGCATGGCGGGACATGCGCGGTCGCAAAACCAGTCTGCGAAATGTCAAGGAAATGATCTCCGGTGTCCGAAAGTTGGATATGGAAGTTTGTGTGACTCTTGGAATGATCGATGGGGATCAGGCCAGGGAGCTGAAAGAAGCAGGGCTCACAGCTTATAATCATAACGTCGATACCTCGCGGGAATTTTACCCATCCATCATTACTACACGCTCGTATGACGAGCGTCTCCAAACGCTGAGCCACGTCCGCGAAGCGGGTATCGATGTGTGCTCCGGCGGAATTCTAGGTTTAGGCGAGGAGGACTCAGATCGAGTTGGCCTGTTGCATACTGCAGCCACGCTTCCAGCTCATCCAGAGTCGTTTCCTGTAAATGCCCTTGTCCCGATCAAGGGAACCCCGCTGGGTGACAGAAAACCAATCGAATTCGACAAATTGCTGCGCACAGTAGCGACGGCGAGGATCATCCTGCCCAAGACCACTGTTCGATTGTCCGCAGGGCGCATAAGCATGACTGAGGAGCAGCAGGTTGCGTGCTTCATGGCTGGGGCCAACTCAGTGTTCACTGGTGAGAAAATGCTTACCACCGATTGCAATGGCTGGGAGGAAGATAAGAAGATGTTTGCGAAATGGGGATTCTATCCAATGCAGGCTTACCAGCGGAAGGAGTTCCGAGCTTCTTCGGATGCTGCCGCTGCGGTTGCTGCAGCGAGCTAATAGAAAGAAAAAAAAAAGAAAAAGAAAAATTGTTTGAGCATACATTTTATATTTGTTATATTTTCCATATTTTCATGCAATGAATAAAAAAGTAATAGTTATACATCTACCCCGCCAAGTCTATTTAGCAAAAGAACTTTTAATCCATCCATAATCTTCCCGACCACCCCTCTATATCTATATATTACCTTAAAGACGGGGAAAACAACAAAACAACAATAACAAAAAAAAAACCCTTTGGACAAAATAGACTCTCACAGAAGAGCAGATCGAAGGGCCTTGTTTACCATAGCCAACTCATCTAGATCTGATGTTAAATCACACATTAAATACAGGACATTCCCCAGCACACGACAGTGAATATTAAATCCGTCAGGATTCGTCTCGCTTAGTCTCCTCTGCAGGCCAGATGCAGCATTTGAATCATATCCTGGAATCAACAACCCTCTGTCAGCGGGATGGGAACATGGATCGTCTTAACAAGGCAGGAGATATACTACTTACCACCACCATCCTGGTTTCGAAGGGAAATGCTTATAACAGTGCCTATAGCAAACACTCCTTCAACCTGTTCTGAATGTGAGAGGTCGCGAACCAGTTCTTCGGACCAGCTACTCCAGACTTGCCGCGACTGTTGCTGTTGCCCTTGTGGATCGGTCATCTGATCGATAACACGATTCAGCGCACGATCCATGTCCCCGGCGGCCGTTAGAGGATCGCCATGCTTTTGATTGCGCTGTTGGATCTTCCTATGTCTCTCTGCATCCGCCGTGCTCAACATGCGAAGCGAAGCTTCCGCCACCTTGCAGCCGACAGGGTGTGCAGTGTAACTGTGTCCATGCAGCAGTGCATCGGCTTTATGTGGACTGCAAAAAGCCTCAAAGACATCCTGGCCTGCTAGAGTTACGCAAAGGGGTAAGAGTCCGCCAGTCAGTAGCTTGGCATGTACCGAGATGTCAGGATGTGTGTCCAGGAAGGAACTGGAGGAAACTCGGCCTAGACGATAGAGGCCTGTGAAAACCTCATCGAAAATCACAGGCAGGCCAGACCATGTATTATGATGTCGTGATCGTTGTGTAGTTTGTCCCTGTCCAAATAAGGCCGGGTTTTCCCGAACAACGTCAACCATAGATTGTTGAAAAAGTGGATCACTGCGAATGATTTCAAAGTTAGCGATGGCTAACCGCGGGTTAAAAAGAAAAGAAAAGAAAAGAAAAGAAAAGATGGAATGCTAACACGAATAACATCCCGCCAGCTCCCAGGATGACTGGTTCCATGATCAGAGCTCCAAACTTACGGCCATCCCGGAGGGTAAGATTTTCTATAATTTTCTTTATGTAAATTTTGTAACGTCCGCTAGCCTCGGAACTCCTGCGTTGGTCGAGGTCAAAGATAGATTGCAATGTAGAAAATTCTGCATCTGGACCCAAGGCTTCCTTCAATCCTGCCGGGGTCTGAACAATCCATCTTCCCCGCACCATTTTTACCGTAGGGAAGTCGAACCAATGGCCACGGCCACGGTACCATTCAACCCTTTTATTGTAGATTGACGGCTCCGAAAGATCCATTGTCCCAATAGTGTCGCCGTGATAGCTTCCACGTAGGCCTAAAATCTCAATGTCGTCCTTGCTGGAATCCCATTGATATCGCTTGCACGCTGCCCTCAGAGCCATCTTCACAGCTACCTCCATCCCAGTGCTACCATTATCAGAGTAGAAAACTCTGGTTAATCGAGGATTGTCCATCATTTTGATTAATGCCTCCGCAAGGGAAAGGGCTGGCTTGTGGACTGCACTTGGGAATATAACATGACCATAGCGGCCGGCTGCATACGCGGCCTCCAACGACAATTCGGGATTTCCATGTCCGAGACACTGCGTCCACCATGATGCAGACCCGTCAAATGTGGGGCGTAACAAATTGGGTGTGTCTGTTTGGGCAGGTGTAATGTTAGAAGTGGTTGAGTTCGAGCAAAGATTTGTAGAATTGCCCTTCAAGGTCTGGAAACAGTCTCCATACGCTGAATCAATTACCATGATGTCTCCTGAAGTTATTGACTTGTGTTGGGTAAATGGATACCAAAGGGACGAATGAGCCTTGGAAGGCATAGCTTCAAGCTCTGATATCCGGGAATGATGTTTTTCGGACAGTCCATCCAAAAACCCAGACAGAGGCGAGTGATTTTCTGTTACAAGCTTTTCAACTTGTTGCTCGTAGTACTTTGACATTGCCTCCTCATCGTTCTCAGCAGGGTAACCATTGCTTGTCAACTTCTTTTCTGGAGGCTGAGAAAACACCAGAACTGGAATACTCTTCTTGGAGGCAAAGAAATCCTCTAGATATTCGTGGTTTTGATAATAGTTATCCTCTAACACTGCAACCGCATCTATATCATATCCGCGGAGTACCAGACTCTCATACGCGGCGATGGAAGATGAGATGCCTCCTAATTTTGAGTCCGCGATCAGGATGACAGGTAATCGCAAAGGTCTATAGACATCGCTTTGCGGTGTGCCATTCGGACCGGGAGACAGAACTCCTCCCGCTGTCTCAACAAGCGCGAGTCCTTGTCCATGTTGCGCCCATCCATTAAGGGTCTGACTGACCGCCTCAATTATTTCTCGGTCATTGGGACACTGGAGGTACGATAGTCATTGAGATATCACGTTACGAATATTGTAGAAAAAGGAGAGGAAACCTACCTTTTTGCCAATGGCAGCAATATGAGGGCTCACTGGCCGATCAAATGTATACAAACACTTGCACGAAACATGCCTAGCGAAGCGGCTGATGTGTCTTATAGCTCGCGAGTTAGTGTTAGGCACACCAACGTAGTTAGTTAATTCTAGGAACAAGGCTGTGAAAAAGAAATCCAGGAAGCAATTTCATCGACGCATTGTTATGCACGTACCTATCATCCCGCTCACAATCAGGCCCGGTGGAAACTGGCTTCAGGTACCAGTGGTTGGCCTTGGGATTTGATACGGTATGGGCTCTATAGAGGAGTGAAGAGAATATCGTTTTACCCACGTTTGTATTGGCGCCGTATACTTGATATGTTAGCAAATGCCGTGAGAGAAAAGCCCCAGCACGCGCCATAATTTAAACATAGGGGCTCCCTTTTTTAAATAGAGAACAAACGGATCCGAAGACCTACAATAGAGAGGAGTAGTTTTTTTAAGAGGCCTGCGGAAAGTTCCAACACCCCTCGATCCCCATAATTTAAGTTTTAGCCCTACAAAAGCATAATCCGCCGGCTGGACGGGGATATCTCCTGGGAGCTGAGCATCAATTAGTTACACTACACTACGGCATTTGCATCTTGGGCACCGGAGGAAGCTCCTTGGATAATTCTGCGTGTTAACTACCCCATGGGCCGCCAACCCCCCCAAACCCCCAACGGCATAGTTATGTAGTAGTTAGTTACTGGGTTCTCCGTCAGCGTCGCTCCCGCTAGTTAACTCGCCGAGCCCCTTTTTCTGTCCTAGCAATAATAGTTAAAAATACGGAGTACTATCGGGCAAGGTTCTGGGGCAGCTGTCTGGGTGAGCCAGGTTTGACTCAGTCGTACTGAAATTCGACGACGCACTCAGAAACCCCTGCCGAACGCCCGGCCCCGCGGAGAGTCTCCGCTGCAGTCGCATGTAATAAAATGGGTTACATGGGTGTTTGCCCCATGCCCGACACCATCAAAGTTTTTGCCATTACCAAACATGGCTGGCTCCTCTTCGGGCGCCAGATTGCCTTTGTTCCATAAAAACTAAAACCCTGGTTAATAAATGGAAAACCCCGACAAGCGTGCTGGAGTATATATATATCACCCAACCTGTTGAATGCACTCTCTCTTAGGATGTGATTGACCTGGTCAACTTGTAAATCCACAATGGAACCTTCTGGGCCACTTCTGCGAGCTTTTCAATCTCGTTTGGATCAGAGAGAGGTCAAGGGACATCGTCGCCGTCTAAAAGTTGCACCGCCCAATTCGGTTGATTTCTCCTCCAACGATTTCCTGTCTTTGTCAACCTCAGACGTCCTTCGATCTCACTTTCTTCAAACTCTTGCCAGTGAGTCTTCTTCACATGCGCTTGCAAGTAAAGGATCCCGACTCTTGGATGGCAATTCTGCCTACGCAGAGAAGTTGGAGCGTTTCATAGCCTCCTTCCACCATGCGGAGAGCGGCTTGCTATTTAACTCCGGTTATGATGCAAATCTCTCGGTATTTTCTTGCATTCCGCAGCCAGGGGATGTTATTTTGTACGATGAATTGATCCACGCCAGCGTCCATGATGGCATGAGGCTGTCAAGGGCGGCTAAAAGGATCCCGTTCAAGCATAATTCCACCGATTCATTTTTCGGCATTGCGCAGGGCCTGGTGCAAAACGACCCTCTAATAGCGTCAGGAGAGCGGAGCGTCTTTGTTGCATTGGAATCGCTCTACAGCATGGATGGAGATATTGCTCCCATCGCGGAGCTTCTGGAGGTTGTTAGGGAAGTGTTTCCCCAAGGAAACGGATATATGGTTGTGGATGAAGCACACTCAACTGGTGTCTTCGGGCCCCGAGGTGCAGGGGTCATTCAGGAGCTCGGTGTGGAGAATCGTATTTTCCTCAGGTTACACACTTTTGGCAAAGCATTAGCAAGTCATGGAGGTACCAACCCCGGCCCCCTTAATTCCACTGCCACCCAGATACACTAAGCTGCGCCCTTGGAGTGGCCCGTATAAGGAGCTCTACACCAGGCGTAGAAGTGCTAGAAAAGGAGAAAAAGTAGCTAACCAACGTCTGCACCCCTGGTCTCTTTTATTCTTCTTTTTTCTTTCTTTTTTCTATATCTTTTAGCTATTGTTCTCTGTTCTCCCCTAACCAGAGAATACCTGATCAACTACGCTCGAAGCTTCATTTACTCTACAGCGATGAGCCTTCCGTCCCTCGTCTCCATCCGCGCTGTATATGACCTCATGAGCCAGGGAGTAACAGAGACTGTATGACCAACGCTCCAATCAACGATTCCACCACCCCCCTTTTGATATCATCTTGCCATACTGACGCACGATCGCAAACCCAGCTCCAATCCCAACTGTACGAACTTGTCCAATACATGGGTACCAGACTAGAAAAACAACTCCCTGAAGACCCCGCCCTCATCAGAGTGCAACATCAAGGTCGATCTCCTATCTTCTCGCTTCAAACCGCAATGCCACGTGAGCTTGCAAGCTTCCTGCAAAGCGAGGGACAAATAGTCCGTGCAATTATGCCCCCAACAGTACCCAAGGGAACTGAACGGGTGCGAGTATGCCTGCACTCTAAAAACACATTTCAAGAGATCGATAGGTTGACCGATCTGATAAAAAAATGGATTGAGCAGCAACTCCCAGGCAGGGCTTGTAAACTGTAGTAGCATGGCATGGGTGGTTATTCTATTTTCATGATAGATATCTCTAGGATGTATAGGGCGGGGTAGCATATATGTAATGAAGATATTCTGAAAAGAGGAGGCTATAAAACCGTCCCTACACAGGCAGAAATATGTGATCCTAATAGAACTGGTGAATTAACACTATTCCTGTGGGGGAATATTCCTATTCTGACAGACCTGGCGTTATACGCCATAAACATTTAGCTAACTTCAGCGGATTCATTTAGCCGGGTAAGGAGTGTAATTATCAATCCTTCAACCCAAATATTCAGAAAGTCGAATAGCTGTTTTTCACCTCCCGCCATCGGTGGGTCGTGATATATACGTCGGGAACAAGCTTGGGAGATGGAATTAAAACTACTTGGAGCGAAATGTCGAACGGCCAAGGTGCTAGTGGAAAGCTTCCCCTTATTTTTAACAGGATAATTGACCTCGGGATGGTGTATGCAACAGCATTCGCATCTCTTGCTGAAGACATGGACAGTAACTATTGTCTTGTACACCAGATATGTCATTCCCGTTGTCTACTGTCTGAAATACAACTCAAGATTAGAGTCTACGTCGAAAATTGATAACCCTCATAAAGGGTTCTAAGCTTTTATTCCCAAAATTGACAGCTCTGGATTGGTATAGCTGTACCTCTATCGTTGCATGTGATATGCGGGCCCCAAAGCCCTAACGGTGTTGAAAGAGAAGTGGGACACATGAAGTATTTGTAGCCAGGTTTGCTAATAAAACTCGAGGAATAGTTCATCAGCCGTGTGCATTGTTCAATCGAACTTGCCGAACAAGAGGGGTCCTTGCGAAACAAGAGTTCAAAATAAGTGTACTGATAAATGTCACAGGAAGCAGCAATGATAACATGATAAATACACGCTCTAAATCTTGAAACAACATCGCGTTGCGGTCTAAAAGAACAGAGGAAAGGGGAGGGGGCCCCTTTATGAAAAACAAGGGGGGAAATTAAGATGCATAACAATATCAACAGCTTTAAAAAGTAAATGGTATCATATATATGTCTTCAACAAATTACTCTGCATCAGTAATTATATTGGGAAATAAAGCAAATAGCAATGCTGTAAAAATGTAGCAAAGATATTTAGATTTCGTGGATTTGCATGACGATAGCAGGAAAAGAGTGATAGTCAGAGGGTAAAGGCGTTTGGACAGCAAAGGGTGAAAGCAGGTCCGAGGATGGAGTTCTCTATAGTCTGCAGCATATGCAAAGTATGATAGCTCATAGTGACCAGCAGCGACCTGTCCTGTGGTGGTACTCGTGGATATCAAGCTAGATCCGGCTTTGAAGTCCGGCTGGCATATCGCCTACGCGGCAAAAGATGCCTCGTCGCAAAGTAAAGAAAACAGAAAACGCCAGTGACGGCCCCAAGGCTGAAGGAAACAATGTAAATGACATCCGCTGGTGGGGGTGTTGCATGAGTAAAAGAAAATCTCATGATTTGAAGCCAACCGGTAACCCATGAGGAGTATAATGCAACAACACATACTGGGGGATAATATTAGCCTCGTTATTTGTGCTGAAACAATGCCCGGATGCTTACATAGACTCAAAAGTGAGACTCTAGCCAGCTTGAGATGAAACACCAGGAGTGTGACAAACACAGTCACTGACAAAATCCACCACGATATGGAAGTGATTAGCCCGCTGAAACTAGTAATTTTACGGAAAACTGCATAGGAGCTCTCAATTGAGGTCTGGAGGTTTGCTGCTGAAGCGGCGACGTCGTTTAGAAGCGCCTGAGAGATTCTTAAGTCGTTTTGGAAGAAGTTTTGATCGTGAATCTGCTTCATTTGGATTTGCTGTAGCGCCAGAGTTGTATGTTCAAACTCTTGAAAGATGTGTTCGAGCGACTTCATTCGCTGTTTCCATTAGCTTCGGTTCAGTTAGCATTTACAAACTGACTTACCGCATCCAAGCCGTCATGTCTGGCTTCCATTGAGCTCATAAGGTCCTCCACGGCTTGCTAGAAATTAAATTAGCAAGATGCAAAGAGGGGGACCTCTAAGGATATACCATTGAATAGAAAATATTGCCAAAGCCCTCCAATATTGGTCGCAAATGTTGGCTGCTTAAAAGCTCAACAGATTGCCTCAATGACGAAACTAGTTCTAGGCTCTCCTGGTGATTTTTCTTCTCAATCGCAGCCATCTGGGAGGCTCTTCTCTCCGTTGCCAGCTGAATTTCATCGAGAATCCGTTTCAGTCCGTGTAATGTTTTCGTTGTGGAATGGAGATCCTAACGGCAAGTGAGAAATGGGATGAATCATTGACACAGTAATGATATTTCAAACCTTATTCGCGCTGGAGGCATCAGAGCGCGTTTGGGACATTAGCTCTTGCACCCCTTCAAGGTCATCAACAACCCTTGCTGATATATCGCGATATCGTAAAAATCCATATTCCAGGTCCTGCATGAGATTACCCTGCATTTCTTTCACGATATCTAAAAATACCCTCTGCCGAGAAGCCTCCACTCCTGTTGATATAAGTGTGTGGTTGAGAGAGTCAGTTAGAATCGATGTGAGGTCAGCCAGATTCTTATACAGCTTTAGCTCCTCTTCACGCTCAATCTCAGCTCGTGCTGCCTGGCACATGACAGCTGCATTTTGCCTGCTGTTACTATAACTCGTCCACCACTGGGGTCGAGATTCTAAAGATATAAGACAAGGTTCCAGCTGTGAGAGTTGGATTATATTTTCCTCTTCTAGATGCAAATGCGTTTTGCGAGACGTGAAAATTGGAGAACATTGTTCTGGAATCGTCGCTCCAGCACCGATAAGTTCACAAACGGCAAGCCTAGCAGCAAACAATGACTTGACATTATCTAGGGAGTCAGAAAGAGCCTCCTTTTGATTACCGTCATCTCCGCGGATTGATTGACAAGACAAAATTAGGTTAGTTGCCGCCATCCGGTTACAGGAAGGTGATGTCTTCATGGAGTTGAGAAGCTCAATAGCACTAGAAAACACTTCACTGTACTGGGTAATTTGTGAATTAAGTAAAGACGGCAAATCAGCCTCATCATAGCCCGCACCGAGTGATAAGAAATTTGGGTCTGGATAACGATAAGTTAACGTGGTACATCAAAGAACGCCGGATCCACTATCTTACCTTTCTTTGAGGACAAAAATCTCAGCGAATTGGCCTTTGTAAAGAGAAAAAGTCCGATCAGGCATAAAGCACTAGTAGCGGGTATCTGGAGCCTCATCTTGGCCCCGAGAGAAAAGAGAAAACAAGGGGAAGTGGTAAAGAAAGGAAATTACGAAAGATTAAATTCGGGTCTCAATTAAAGAAAATCGAGACCAGAAATGGGTAAAATAGAAATACAGTGTCTCAATTAACGCCTCATAAGCAGATCTTGGATGAAAGCTATTTTGGTTTAATCAGGCCTATATATCATGAGAGGGACATTCCAGGTCCCGAATGAAAAGGTCAATGGTTAATAGCCATGGTAAGAATAAATCAGGTTGCTATGAATCCCGAAATCAACAAAGCAAGACATCTTCAACGGGAGTTGTTTTGAGATAGAATCTTGCGACACTGACGCAAGGCATTAAGAAAGGGGACCGCGTCGAATTGAAGTTGAATTTAGGTTTTGGCTTATATAACGCGACATATCACGTGTTACGTTGAGGTCACATTTATTCCCCAGACCTTTAAATAAACGCATTTGCGATAACGGGCAGTGCAGCAACAACAAGATGAACTGGGCAATGTCAAGGAGCTGCTATAGGCAGCTCCTCGAGGAGTCCATGAGGACCAATTACTTGCCAGCTTTTATTCTCCCCGCCTTCTCTCTCCCTCATAATAACTCCAAGCAGTTTTCGACTTCAACGGCCGCACAATCGCGAATTGGCGCTGCGCCGTTGTCAATCCCATCTGAAGTTTCGCTAAATTTTATCGAGCTTCCGGTAGCTAAGAATTCAACTGTGCGACCGGGGAAGGATATCCCAACTACCGCGGTAGAGGTTACTGGGCCTTTAGGTATGCAATCAATATTTCTAGTCAGCGGCAATCCAGGACACTCACTGACGAGACAGCAATTATTCTAGGTTCCCTGACATTGACCCTGCCATCATTTTCGACTCTCAATTTTGACCCGACATCTCGAAAAGCGAGCGTTGAGGTTCAAAACCCCAAAATTAAACGTCAGCGTGCTATGTGGGGTATGCGAATCTATTCACTATTCCCAACATTCTGTACATGGCAGCCCGCCTTTCCCTAACATTTTTTGCCCACAGGAACCATAAGACAACACTTGAAGAACCACATACTAGGAGTTTCGGAGGGCCACACTTGCATTATCAACTTTGTTGGAGTTGGATTTAGGGCAATGATCGAACCCAAGGCCGTTACGATTCCTGAGCCAAAATATCCCGGCCAAGAGTACGTCTCGCTGAAAGTTGGATATGCGCATCCAATTGAGCTAGGCATCCCTCAGGGAGTCAAAGCTAGGACACCTCAACCCACTACCATCCTTCTAGAGGGAGCCGACAAGCAGGTTGTGACACAGTTTGCGGCGGAGATTCGAGCATGGCGAAAACCAGAGCCTTACAAGGGAAAGGGTATATTCGTGAACGGCGAGACAATCAAGTTGAAGGCGAAGAAGATCAAGTGATTTGGCTCTCTTGTTTTCATATCTTTGCTGTGGTTTTTGTATATCCACTTCTTTTTGGTTTTATTTTCCATACCTCTGTAAAATAGCCATTGTTCTCTTATCTTCTTCGTTTTCATCACACTTAAATGGCTTATCTCCTTGTCTGCCATCCTCTTGAAAAAAATAAATATATTTACATGGTATCCTTTATTTCAATTTCAGCACTTTCTGCACGGCGTTAAGCAATTGGTCATGGATAGCCTTCGGGGCGGCAACGATCCCCTTGTTGTCAGCCAACGTTCTCCCTTTGCCAAAGTTAAGTCTGTTGCCGTGGATATCGGTCGCCATTCCTCCAGCCTCGCGGACTAACAAGTCCCCTGCAGCATGGTCCCAAATCTTCTCTTGATAATCCTTTCTCGTGGGCAGTCTAAGGTAAATATCGCCAGACCCTCGAGCGATGGAGCAGTATTTAGCTTGCGAATCCAACCGCACAGGTGTGCCACTGATCCCTAGCATCTTAGCCACAGCAGCGGTATCATCTTGTGCGGAATGCGCTGCCTCAACACTTTCACAAAGTGAAGCCTGTGTAATATCTGACACTGGTTTCATCAAGATAGATTTGCTCTTTTGCAATTTCCCTTCAGACAAGGGGCGGCTCGAGGCTCCCTTACCAAGTATTGCAGAAAATAGTACCCCGCTCTCCTCGCCGCTTTGCTGAGCGTTCTCGAGATCTACGGGGATCGGCGCGGAGTCAGACACTGGCAAATTGGGGCAACCGATGACTCCTACTTTAACGTCCCCATCCACAATCAAGCCGAGGCACACAGCATATTGGCCCCCACGGAGAAACCCCTTTGTGCCGTCAATGGGATCCAAAGCCCATATCCTCCCCTTTGGTCCTCCAGCACTTTTCCCCTGGTCGAGGATGTCCAGCATATCCTCCTCACTCTGCAATGGTCCACCAAGAACCTTCTCACTTTCCTCATCAGCTAGCCTAATATCTTTGAGCAGACCCCAAATTTCATTGCTCAATGGCTTGTCTCCTCTGAGGGCAGTCGCTTCCTCCTCCGCAACAATCTCATCGTCTGGGAAATTCTTGCGAATAGCCTGGATAATCAAAGCCTGTGCACCAAAATCGCCCTTCGTGACAGGGGACTTGTCATCCTTGGATAGGGTGCCTTTTGTCTTTTCGCGGAACACTTTCTGCGTGAACAGAGTGGCTCTCTGTACTGCTAGTTCTGCCACGTAGAGCTCTTGTTGGTAGGACATATTGACTACCGGAGATTGTTGGAGGGATAGAGGGGAACCGAACATATGCCTGAGAAAGAGACGGTGTCCGAGTCTTGCTGCAATAGTGGTCGCCAGGATGAGAAGGGAGATCTATACAATAAAATGGACACAGATATATCTAGATGACGGACTTGGTTTTCTCAATTGGGAAGATTTATCCTTCATAGACGAAAATACATATCGAATATATAAGAATATATTAACTAGTCAACTGGATTAAAACTACATCTCCAAGTTACCTCCTTGATTCCGCTGAGCCAACAAAACATCACGTGTTTCCGATCTCGGACCACTTCCCCCGCACTAGACCTGATCAGGATATCCACTCATCCATATTATTATGGGATAACTTCATCTTTTCCCGATCAGGATAAACAGCGCGGCGGCTCGCTGGATGTATACATATATCTCGGATTTCGAGGAATTCAAAGGGTCCATACTTGTTTTTCCAGGAAATGCTATCCATTGATCCGCTTTTTGTTTTGTTCGCCGGACGCCACACGTATGTTTCTTTAGTTGGCCGCTGATTGTGAAATGCGGGGTTCAACTCCGTTGGGCTTGACAACTCCCAAAACCGCGCCCAATTCCTGTCCCCTGCACTAATATTTCTTTGTCTGTGTGCAACTATAATTGATCAGTTTCTTCACTCCAGCTTGTTCTTTATCCAGAGGACCAGAACAGGACGATCAGACTACGAACCGCCCACCCGTCCTCCCTCCTCCGCTCAAGTCTAGCTCAGGCTCCCGCTTTGCTTGCATATCAGCCCTGCAGTGAGTTACGCTTCTGCAGACCTCTAACTTAAAACCACATATGCTAGTGATTACTTGTGATTACTTGTGAGTTTTTATCTCATCATAGCCCCTTTAAGACTAAACATTACCCTGCTTAAGGTGTCTGACAAACTCGGGCAGTGAATTAACATCCCTCCTCAACCCGTACCCCCTTCATTAACCAAACCCGTCATGTTCTCCGGATCCGTAGGTTTCTCTCTTTGTTTCCAATTCCCCTTTCGGTTCTTATTTGCCCCAGTGACAGGGAGGCCTTCTTTCACTTCTCACGGGGGGAATGTCCTTTCATAAATGTAATACCACGGCGCTTCAAAAGGATCTGCCTGCCATGGGGTCTATTTTCATTTTCTCAGTCATGCATATCTAGCCATGTATGAGTAGAGCTTTAATCCCCCATATTTCCATTTTTCTATGTGCCTTCTTGCTTGTGTGTCCATTTCTCCTTCCTACCACCTTGCAGCTAATAACATGCTTTTCGGCTATAAACAGAAAAAGCCGTATTCGGCCATCACTGTTCAAATCGATAGACTCACCAGTGAGCAGTATGAAGTTGACGATTCTAGCGGAATTGTAGACCTGATCGAAGTGATCCGGCTTCAAGCTAGTGGTCCGAGCGAGGCCAGTCGAGCCCTGCGGAAAAAATTGTATGTTAAATCCTAGTCAGCTAGTTCTCCCGCTAATACTAACTCTGCTATAGGAAATATGGGTCTGTGCATCGCCAGCTACGAGCTCTGACAATTTTAGACTTTCTCATCCAGAATGCTGGGGAAAGATATCTCCGAGGTTTCACAGATGAGCCACTGTTAGAGCGGCTCCGCGTAGCCGCCACAGATCCAGTTTCAGACCCTGAAGTAAAAGAAAAATGCAGGCAAATGTTCCTGCAGTGGTATTCCTCCTTCAAAGGGGTTTCTGGCATGGAACGAATTGCCAACCTCCACAGGCAGCTACCCCAACGGAAAAAACCCATGAAGCAACAACAATCGAAAGTTCTCAAAGAAACAGAATTGCAGCCAGACACCCCTATAGGCCATTCTGTATCTATTACGGCTGGAAATGGCCCAGTCACTCTATTATCATCCCCCACATCGTCGAGGTTCTCCAAAACAGGCCGGCCAAGCCTGTCCAAGACATCAGAGGACACATCTCACCGTGGAATGCCATTCAATCTAGAGAAAGAGCGGCCAGAAATTCTGCAAACAATTGCATCCTCATCCATGGCAAGCACAAACTTCATGAATGCACTGAAATTGGTCAATCGCGAGCATCATCGCGTAAGCGAGGATCCGGAGGTAATGAGTCAGTTTGAAAAGTGCAAGGATCTGCGGCGGCAAATATTAAGATACATCCACCATGTCAACAGCGATGATTTCCTTGGCAGTCTCATTCACGCTAATGATGAACTGATAAATGCCCTCATGACCTTTGAAGTTCTAGATAAGAGCGTCGATGACGATAGTGACAGTGATAGCGAAGCTTGGTTAGAAGAAACTATGAATCCAAATAGGGGTACAAGCGATGAACTTTCTGCACTGACTCTTGGTGCCACCACAAAGCCTCCACGGCCTCCACGGCCTGCTAAACCTGATAACCTTTACTACAACCCGCGGTTGTCGGTGCCTCAGGGAAAGCAAAGAGAATTACAAAGTCAGAGCGAAGACGAGGACACTGACGAGGAGGAAGATAACGAGGACAACCCGTTTGGAGACAGGAACGCAGTGCATACTCCAAGTCCCGAGGAATCTGGACTTCCTTGGTCAGAATCAACACCTTTTAAATAGGGTCAAAATTGGTCACATGGACTTTGTAGCTAATTCGTTCATGTGTGAAGGCGAGATGTTTGATTTCCTACTTCTTCATACGTTAGGCTACTTTTATTACCCAGTTGGACACCTTCTTTCCCCTCTCCGTTCCTCCAAGGAAAGTCTCACAACTTATTCCCCCCATGAATGCGAGCTGGCGCTACCAGCCATCCAATTTTCCATTGCAACCCTTCCTTCATACCCTCACTTAATCTGTATCCTATTCCAAACATTACCATTGCGCATTATGGGGTCTCAAAGTTTCTCTTATCTTATATCTCTCGGGTCAGGATGTTATAGTTGGTTGAAACATATTTAATAAGGAATCATCAAAGATGAGGTTTATATACCTACTCTAGTTTATGTCCATAGTTCTCTGTAAGGTGTTTTCCTTGAGCCAGTTAGTGAGGGAGCTCTACCTATATGACAACCCCTCATCTCATCTCTAACCTACTGGTGGGTATGAGGTAGTTAAACATTGTTTCGTTCAATGTATGAATGGCAGGGGGCATCACTGGGCAACAATGAATAGCAAGTTACTTACCATAAATAACTTCTCTTTGGAACGATCCCAGACAGTTTATGTATAATTTCACTTTTCCTGTCAGGATTCCATACCCAGGGGCCCCGAGAGATTGGATACGTGAGTCCACTAACAGGGGGTAAAACAAAGTGAAGATAATGCTCCAACGCACTATCCAAGAACAAAAATTAATGCTTCAATGGGCATGACCATTCAAGATATCTACACACTACTCACAGTAGAACAAGGGAAAAACCAAGTCTCTAAAATTCCAGCTCCCCAACCTGTCCCAAAAACGCGTTATTTCCCTCTTCCGCCAACAACGCCTCAATATCCACTCTCCCGGCCGTCAAATATCTCTCACTAACACCCATATTAACCCTCTTCGACAATAAATCCTTCAGCTGCGCCCTAAGCCCCGCAACCTCCGCCTTAGTCAAACTACCCACAACCTTTTCCCTCGCCTCCCTCCCATCTCCTCTGCCCCTCACCTTCCCCTTCCCCTTAGCCTGCTCTGCAAACTCTTCACTATCATAATCAACACCCAGATCCTCCGCCGCGGAGCGCAGCCAGTCATCCTCTGACAACAGCTTCTCCTTCGCAAGTGTATGTTCTGTAATTTTTTTAGCCAGGGCCACGCGCGGACGCACACGGGCAATCACATGGCGGTCCAAATCCACAGAGTGCAAGGGCAGACGCTTCGACGAAGTGACCAGATTGGAGGTGTGGACTTTAGCAGCTAAGCGCGCCACACCGACGATTTCCTCGGGGGCGCAGAGGAGGATGGATTTTCCCGAGGCTGAGGCGCGGGCTGTGCGGCCGGATCGATGGACGTATGTATCTGCGGTGCGAGGGACGTGGTAGTGGATGATTAGGTCAATGCCTTTGATATCGAGGCCGCGTGCGGCGACGTCGGTTGCCACGAGGATGGAGGATGGGGAGGAGAAGCGCTCGACGGAGCGAAGGCGGGCTTTTTGGGCCATGGAGGAGTGCAGGGAGAGGGCGGGGAGGTTGAGGTTTTGCAGGAAAGACGTTAGGCGACGGACGGCGGAGATGGAGTTGGTGAATACTAATGTGCGATAGTTCAAGTGATAGAGCATGAGTGTGTAGAGGTATAGATCCTGTTTTGTGGAGTTAAGTTATAGTTTCCTGAAAAGGTGCGATTGCGTAGTTCTGGATAGAATATGATCATTGGGTTCTATTACCTTTTCCATGGCCGGACATTCTACAAGACCTTCCTTGAGGTTTTCGGCCATCTGAGAAACGGGATTCACGTCAATGAATTTCGGCTTTTCTTCTCTGAAGTTGAGCTTTTCGAGCAGATACTCCATCGACTCCTTGTTGTCGAGTAGACCCCCGTCAATGAAACGACTTTTTCCGGCCAGCTTCTGCTGTAGGCCCCGATGGAAAGTCGCAGAGAAAACCAATGTTTGCCGCGGGAATGACTTGATGTTAGCACGTTCACTCTCGGAATCAGAATCAGACTCTTCCACTCCATCATTTATCTCCTTGCGATCAAGAGCAGTCAGTATCTCCTCCACCTCCTTGAAATGCCCTTCACTAAGTAGCCGATCAGCTTCGTCAACCACAAGGAATTTGATGCTTTGAAACTTCCGTATTAAGCCCTGCCCATTGCTAATAACATCCCAGAGCCTCCCCGGCGTTCCGATAACGATGTCCGCATTAGCGAGGAGACGATGTTGTTTTTGAACGGAGAGACCACCAGTCAGCAAAGCAATTCTTGCATTGATGTTTGGGGCATTGCTAATGAATGCGGTGAGGTGCTTTGATATTTGGTGCGCTAGTTCTCTCGTGGGTGACAGGATCAGAGCAATAGGATGTTTTCTCGAAGAATCAGAACCAGTATTTTGAATTGGTTCATCACGATTGTTCTCCAAATGGTACTCTAAAATAGGAATAACAAATGCAAGTGTCTTTCCGGAGCCAGTAGGTGCTTTCCCAACGACATCGTGGCCTGCAGCTATCACCGGTATACAGGCAGACTGTATTGGGGTTGGCTTTGCGAACTTCAGCTTCGCAAGACTTGTCTGCAGCTCAGCGGAGATACCCAGAGGCTCCCATGCTGAAACATCAACATCTTCCTGGTCATCCTCTTCATTGAGGGCGTCAAACGACATGCCTGGTTGAACGTCTGTTCTGGGAGCATGTTTTTTGTTATTCTTGCCTTTTGCTTCCTTCAGCTTCAGTCTCTTCTTTTCTCTCGGCTCATCTGCTCGATCTTTATTACTTTTCTTCACTTTCTTCTTCTCCCTCGTTTCGTCTTTTTGTATTTGCTTTCCCTCGTCGTTGTATACATCCTCTACATCCTGTCCCGGTCCAGCAGAATCAGAGAATCTGCTCCACTCATCGGCCTCATCCTCCGCATTCGACGATATGCTTCTGTCAGCGGTTTTCTTCACTTTATTTTTTGCCGCCTATACAGTTAGGAAATGAGATACATTAGCTAGATTCCCACAAGATATTGTACACAGCATTCCAGAAACAATCGCTGATTCTCTCACCTTAAACTTGATCTGTCCCTGTCCCGCCGGTCGCACGATGTCAACTCCCTCGATTTCCTCCAGGCCAAAAAATCCCTCTGCGTCATCTAGTCGGTCTGGCAATGCGACCTCTTTCCAGTCAAGGTCGTCGATCCCAACGACTTCTGTCTCGTCTCCGGAAACCTGAACTCGCTGGCGCTTTTTGGACTTGAGCGACGCATCCCGCAACTCTCGTTCTCGTTTTATAGCCATATCAGACAAATCTCTTGTGTGTATATAGCTACAGCCAAGAGGAAATCGTGTAGCTAACCCCAGAGTCAACCCAGTATAACCGCTTATCATTCACCCGTTTGTCTCTATATTTTATGGCGGTGGTTATTTAATTAGTTGGTCGGGGGCAATGTTCAATGCCTGAGCTCAAAAAGCAAAAAACTTTAGCTCTAAATTCCGCAGTGACATTTTCCCCACCTAAAAAAAAGGAAAAAAAAAATACAACATAGTTAACTATAATAAATATGTAACTATATATAATCAAACCTAGCTATTCAAACTTACATGCGTCTTAACATATAAACTGCGCACATTGAACATGACGCTCGACGACAGAAAGTGAGGTAACGCAGGCAAGCAAGGGATACACTAACACCCTCCCTTCTGTAGAGCACTAAATATGGGAAAATCCTCCAAGGACAAGCGAGACGCCTACTATAGGCTCGCCAAAGAGCAGAACTGGCGCGCACGCTCTGCCTTCAAGCTGATCCAGATAGACGAGCAATTCGACCTCTTCGCACACTCAGATCCAGACAGCGTGACGCGCGTGGTCGACCTGTGTGCTGCGCCAGGGAGTTGGAGTCAGGTTCTAAGCCGTGTGCTGATCAAGGGCGAGAGTTTTGGACGTCGCGCATGGGAGGAAAAGCGGCGGAGGGAATGCAGTGAGGTGCGGAAGCTGGAAAATGCTAAAAGGGAGGAGCACAAGCGGGAAGCTGAGGGAGAGGAAGAGAAAGAGGAAGAGCAGGTCCTCAAACCGCGCAAAAATGTAAAAATCGTCGCTATTGACCTCCAGCCCATGACTCCGCTTGAAGGCATCACCACTCTGAAAGCAGACATCACCCACCCTTCCACCATCCCCTTACTTCTAAAAGCGCTCGATCCGGATGATTACGCCGTTATCAGCGATCTTACCACTACTACCACCACCGGAAATATGCCACACCACCACCCGCCCCCGCACCCTGTCGACCTCGTCCTCTCGGACGGCGCCCCCGACGTAACCGGCCTCCATGATCTAGACATCTACATCCAATCTCAACTCCTCTACGCTGCGCTAAACCTAGCGATAGGCGTGCTACGTCCCGGTGGCAAATTTGTTGCCAAGATCTTCCGTGGCCGCGATGTAGATTTGATCTACGCACAGCTGAAGACCGTGTTCGAAAGAGTATCCGTCGCGAAGCCGCGGAGTAGTCGGGCTAGCAGTCTGGAGGCGTTTGTAGTCTGTGAGGGTTTCATTCCACCCGTAACTAGTGCTGGCAATGACGTTACAACTCCAACTTCACAGCCAGCATCAACATCAGAGGAACGACATGGCATGCACCTCCTCTCCAATCCCCTGTTCGGCGGTGCAGCGACATCCACATCCACAACAACCATCCCCACCGCCCCTCATCCCACACGGTGGATACCACCCTTCATAGCCTGCGGCGACCTATCCTCATGGGATGCAGATGCGTCCTACGAGCTGCCCCCGGGATATGTGAGTCTCGATCCCGTGCAGCCTCCTACGGCGCCACCGTATAAGCGTGCGCTGGAGTTGAGGAGGGAGAGGGGTGGTGCGTACGGGAAGACGAAAGGGTTGGAGATTGGTTGAGTGGTGGATTTATACTGTTAATGGAGGAAAGAGGACGGGGAGCAATATACCTTGTTTTCATTTTGTTGGGTTTTTTGAAATAGATTTTTGATTACGTTGGAAGTGAGAATCCTGTTCATTTTTAGACGAAACTGTGTACATGGTTTCTAGCACTAGCTCTTTGCAATATATATACATGGATGTGGGGCTCGTTAGAGTCCACTCTTTATTGAGTTTTACATTATTGGTTTGGAGTTTGGATGACAAAAGAAGCAGAGTTGACCGTATTGTTTTGGATTATACAAATCCTCTTCTATTATTAAGGAGGTGCATGAAGTTCATGAAGGAAAACCAAGGAAGCAAAAATCAATTTATATTTAATAAGAGATTAAACAAACCATTACAAATCAATGGTCCATGCCAAAAAGAAAAGAAAAGAAAATCTAAGAACAAATTCTGGATATATTTCACTGGTGGCATATAACTCCACTCTAAGAACCACCCGCCCCTTAATAAACCTCCAAAACATACCTCATCTCATCCTTCAACCGCTCAATTTCCCTCCTCGCATCCACCTTCTTGCCACCCACCCTTCTCGCCTCCGCTACAATCGCCTCCTCAAGCACCTCCGTAACATCCGGCACCGGCCACGTAGGCCCGCACAGGTAAAAAACGCCCTGCTCGCGAATATACGCGCGCGAAATCTCCGGTAGCGTCTCCCGCATGCGGTCCTGAATGTAAATCTTCTGCGGCTGATCGCGGCTGAAAGCGCGGCCCAGCAACGTAATCACCCCCGCTGCCTGGTAGGCCTCCCACTCCTCGCCGTAGCAGTATTCTTCGCGCTGATGTCGGGAGCCCATGTATAGAAGTACAGAGCCGATTTGCTTCCCTTGTGCCTTTTCCATGGCACGGTGCTGAACGAAGGCGCGGAAGGGGGCTAGCCCGGTTCCTAGGCCAGCCATGATGATGGGTTGGGTTGATTGAGGGGGCAGTTTCATGACACTTGCTTTGACACTGACGGTCACGGGGTTGCCGGGCTTGAGGGCGCTGAGGTAGTGTGAAGCTTGGCCATAGCGGCAGCGGCCAGACGGATCGACCCAGTTGACGACGACGATCATTAAGGCGACGGAGTTTGGCGTTACCTGCTGGCAGGAGGCGATGGAGTATTCACGGCGCTTCATCGGGGAGACAATGCGGATGAGGTCTGGGAAGGAAGGGTGGGCGGAGGGGAATTCGACAAGGAGGTCTGCGAAGGTGACTGTGTCGATTTCTGCTCTGCGTTTGAATTCGTCAACGCCTTCTGCAGCGGCGAGGGTTAGGAGGTGTTTGCGCTCTTTCTCGTCGGAGGCAAAGGCGGCGAGGGATTCGTAGAAGCGTTTTGATGGGCGGCCGAAGATGTCGATGTTGTGGACAAGGGCCTGGTAGATGGTGCGGCATTCGAGGATGTCCGGGTCTTCGCGCGAGGGGACTTCAACGACGGAGGCTGGGTCCAGGCCGTAGAATTTAATGAATTTGTTCACGTCTGCGGGATTGTTTTGGGCGTGAATGCCCAGGGCTTCTCCAAGGTCGTATTTTAGACCGGTATCGCCCAGATTGAATTCGATATGGAAGATGTTCCTGTCATAGGTTTTGGGGGTCAGACGGCGATTCTCGCTGACATGGATAGTGAAGGTCTTAGCCGCGAGGTCAGGGCGGAGGGAAGTTGTGGTTCCATAGGCCTCTTTGAAGACCAAAGCTTTCGCAGCATTCTGCCAATCTCGCAAGACAATAGGTTCTTCAATCTCTGATTTGTCAAATGGAATGAAGCTAGTGGTGTGGATATCGGTGGGAAATTTTGGAACGTTTCCTGAATCCTCCTCGACGGAAGACCAGGATTCGGGAACATCGACATTTCGGAGTTCCGTCTGCAAGGCTTTCGTTGCCTTGGAGAACGATTCCGCACCTGCCAGGGTCGAAACTAACTTCTTAGCTTCCACGGTATAAAGGTTTGGAAGAGCAACTCGCAAAAATGCTGCCTGTAAGACTGTAGTTTCGAAGCCAGTTTCTTCGGAGACAGGTAGATCGAGAATGAACAATGAGATTCCCTGTTGTGCTATTGCCAGTCTAAACGGCTGAGGAAGTCTCTTCTCCAGATCCTCATCCTTCAATCCAGGAGCTTTAACAATGATCTTCCCGGAATCCTTGATGCTGGCTGGCACGTCGAGCTCTGAGAGAAGATTCAAGTCACCTACATAAACAACGTCAGCTGAGTTGACGGGATATGGTGCATCAATTGTCTTAGGACCCTTCCGAATATCGGTTCGGGTGATTCCTCCCAGTACAAGGTTATCGTGGACTGTGCTCGTGGCAACATTGTAGGATGAATCTTTCGCAAGGGCCTGGCCGAACACGATAGCAGCGGCGTTTGATGACGAGTCATCAGTGTCCCAAAATGTATATTCCTGGACGGTCATGGGGTCCAAGAGTTGCAGGGGGGTTTGCGAGCTATTCGGGGAACTCTGCAGCAATGGCTCCTTCACGATTTGCTGGAAAGCAGCAGCTGTGTTAACTAGCGACCAATTATGTGAAGGGGCGTATTTGATCTCAACACACTCCGGGCGGGCGGAAGCCAGAAACCCGCTTCCGAACGTTAAGGAGGTGAGGACATCCTCATAGAGTGCGGAATGGATTCCATCTTCCTGGACAGCCAAATCACTGTGGACCTGGCCAAGAACGCCAACGACTCTGGAGGTCTTGGGCAAAGCACTCAGGAAGGCTTCTTCGACGAATGGTCTATATACTCGCACATTAACGACACCAACACGGGCACCATTCTGGGCCAGAGAAGTGGCAATCTGAGAAGTCAAAGATGACTCAACGGTGCCAAAGGAAACCAAGACAGAGGTGGCTTCAGGATGCCCGTGGTATTCGAAGGAGTTGTAATCAGTGCCCAATTCTGCATTGAACGCCTTCAACAAACGCAACAGTTTGCCCTCACCATCCAAATGTTTCTGATCAGGACCAGACACCTCCCTCAGCACATTCTTATATATATTACTGAGACCTGACCGATTCTGAACATCGATGACCCGAGTGATCTCTCCGCCGACTCTGATACCATCGTAGATATGGATTGTTGGGAGGATATCAGCCAGCAGTGTTGAAAAGAGGGCCATATGCTGAGACTCGTGGGCAGAGAAGCTAGAGACTAAGCCCAGGCCCAATTCCTCGGCCAGAGCCAGGGAGGTGGTGTAATCTGCCACGAGTCCCGAGACAGCACCGCCCGCATAGTCCACAGCAGCCACATGGGCGACAAATGGGTTGGCGACCGAGTAGAGCAGAGAGAGCTGCTGCAACGCCGGGCGGAGGTACTGCAAGGTGGCAGATGAGGCCAGAATCGACTGCGGGATGTATCGCTTCTTGAGATCGAAGTCCTTGGAAAAGATATAGCCCAGAGCAATGGCACCAGCACCCTGACGAGTTTGCATGGGCTGAACCGCAGTGGTGTAGCCATAGGTATTCTGCTGGCCCTGGGCAGCCCATTGCTTGACAGCAGTGTCTAGATCGAAGGTCTCTGGCGAGTAGGTGAAGAGCTTGTCTGACAGAGCATAAGCAACCTGCTGAATCAGAGTCTGAGCTGTGATGTATGTTGGGCCGCCAATATCTGAGAAGTGCACGGGTATGCCCAAGGGATATTGTTGCTGCTGCTGCTGCTGTTGTAGCTGTTGTAGCTGAGAACTGCTCCTGGTAGCCTCGACCTGGAAAGATCCCCCGGAGAGAGTCTCAATTGACCGCATTGTGACTGAATGGGTCTTTGAGTTCTCTGTATATCAACAAGTGGTGTTCATGGGAAAAAGGGGGGTTGAAGGAAATATGCTATGTGAGAACCTTGGGATATCAAAAAAACAACCCAAAAACAAGCAGTTCCAAGCCAGCTGAACTCTCTGCGAGTAAAATGAGAGTAGATAAGTGAAGATTTAAAAGAATAAAAAGAGTAGAATATGAAGCTAATGACAAGAATATATACACAGGCAATGGGCGAAACCCGCGAGATGAGGACATTTTTTATTATCTAAGGCAAATATTCTCTTTACATACCCCTCGCTCCTTCCTCTTCGTCCACCACCACGTCCTCCTCCTTCCCCAAATTCTCCCCCCAATTCTGCCGAATCAGGCAAGCAGCTCTTGTTTGCTTGCCTCGTTGGTGTTGAAGAGAATCGCGCAAAAGTGCTCTCAATTGCGTGCTCAGCGCCAAGCCTGAATTCGGGCCGAGGTTGTTCCAGCTCCCTGATTCTATGGCTTAGTCATGTTGTACCAAAAGAGGAAAGGCACGATCGGCTACCAGAAAGGGCAAAGCGTATAATCCTTCACATCGTTCAACATCAACAACATCAACAACATCCATCCACCAATGTCTCTCCATATAAGGTGGAGATTGAAATCTTCCTGCCAATTTCATTCTGTTGAAAGGGAAATTATGCATCGACCTGACAATAACGATTGTATCTCTGCATTTCAGTTCATCGCAGATTCATTCCAGGCATCCTTATTACGCTCACTGTGCGTACAGAAATCTCTCTGTTCTAACCAAGGCCACCCACCAAAAAGCTAAACCACCCCCAGAACCCGAATTACATCGGACATAACGTTGTACGAAGAAGATATTTATTATTAGGTAGTAAGCGGGTGCCAGATCTTTCGCTTTCCCGAGTCATGCAATAATTCCCATGCTCTGCGGAGAATGCCGCACTGAGTCCGCTGCCTGAGTAAGATGATGCAAATCCTGGAGGAAAAAAAAGAAAAAAAAGAAAAGAAAAGAAAAGAAATCAGAAGGAAACTCCAGATTAATGATACAAATAGCTCTCTTATGAATGACGGAGAGCACGCCCATCACTGACGTTTGATATCATTTGCAAGGTGTTTCGCAGGGTTAATTGTGGATTGGGCAAATCTATCATCCTCATTCTCGCCGGGCATCGATTCATGTATAATTAATAGACTATATCGGAGTATCGATTCTCGATGCAAGGTATCAATTGTCAAGTGGAACTTTCCAATTTCATTCGTGGAAGAAATTCTAATAATTGTTACAATTCGTTCACTGCTGAGCTAGTTAACGTAGTCCGACACCTAACCGATCACGACACCTAACCGATCAAATTTTCGTCCCAATCACCCACTCTATTAAATCATTCAATATGACAGCCACACCTAGCAAAGAACCTTCTAATCAAGAAGCCAGGCTCTTATTAGCTATTAAAGATTATGAAACTAAGCAAATTTCATCTATTCGCGTTGCTGCTAAGACGTACGAGCTTCCTTATACTACGCTTTACGATAGACTACGCGGTGGAACCACGTACACGAATGCTCAACTAAAAAATCGAAAGCTGACCTCTACTGAAGAGGAATCTCTAGTTCAATGGATACTCTCTATGGATGAGAGAGGACAGCCTCCCCGGATCGCGACCGTACGAGAAATGGCTAATCTACTACTTGAGGCGCGAGAATCCACTACTACAACTACCGTGGGAGGAAGATGGGTAGAAAGATTTATACAACGGCATTCTGAACTAAAGACGAAGTTCTCACGCAAGTACGACTATCAGCGAGCTCAATGCGAGGATTCAAAGATCATATACGAATGGTTTACCCTGATGGATCGTACGATAAAGAAGTATGGAATTACTTCAGAGGATATCTATAACTTTGATGAGATTGGCTTTACAATGGGGGTTATTTCAACATCCTGGGTGGTTACTAGAGCTGAGAGAGCTGGCAGGCCATCTCTTTTACAGCCAGGGAATAGAGAATGGGCAACTGTGATCGAGGCAGTTAACGCTACGGGCTGGGCTCTACCTCCTATGATTATCTTTAAGGGCAAGCTTCATCAAGCCTCCTGGTACAAGCAGCTGCCAAAGGATTGGACAATTGGCGTTAGTGAGAAGGGATGGACCACGGACGCTCTTAGCCTTGATTGGCTGCGGAAGGTCTTTAACGGAGCTACTAAAGCTTGTACGAAGGGCAGATATAGACTGCTTGTGTTGGATGGGCATGGCAGTCATGCCACGGCCAGATTTGATAAATTCTGTCTGGATCACGGCATTATATCATTATATATGCCTCCACACTCCTCTCATTTATTACAGCCACTAGATGTGAGCTGCTTTTCACCATTAAAGAGAGCGTACGGCAAGAGGGTGGAACAAAGCGTGAGACTAGGAATCAGTTATATTGACAAGGAGGACTTTCTAGCCAGCTATACAACAGCTAGACAGGAGGCTATGAAGGATATAACTATAAAGAACGGATTCAAAGCCACAGGCCTAGTGCCATACAATCCAGATGAGGTTCTTACTCGCCTACATACTCAATTTCATACTCCTACCCCCCCGGGGTCAGCTCACGGATCTCACGGATCTCAATCCTCCTGGACCCCCAAGACCCCTCGCAATGTGACTCAGTTGGAGCGGCAGAGCAGCAGAATCAAACGCTGTACGGAAATTCTCTCTAGTCCTACAAATCAGGCTCTTGATCAACTAGTGAAGGGATGTCATACGGCCATGCATAATGTTGCTTTACTGACCAAGGAAGTCATGGAGCTGAGAGCTGCCAATGCTAAGCAGAAGCGTAAGAGAGAGAAATCACGTTTCTATATAGCTAAGGAAGGAATCCTTACGGCTCAAGAAGCTCTAGCTAGGATGGCTAAGCCTCTGGAGCCTCCTGAACGTACGGAGGTTTGGATGGAGGATCCAAATCCGGAAGGTAGAAAGCGAAGACCTCCCACCTGCAGCAAGTGTAATACACCCGGACACACTATTAGGCAGTGCCAACAGACCTAAGGATCTAATCTATATAATTTCTATATAAAATCTCTCGTGGTTGTTGCTCAATTTAAAAAATTGTCAAATAAGGATGAAAATTTGATCGGTTAGGTGTCGTGATCGGTTAGGTGTCGGACTACGTTAACCGCATCAGCGCTTACTCAGGACTTGTCCGGGTTCATCGTTATTGAATCATTGACTTTTCTGGTTGAGCCCTATTTCCACTTGTTCAGATTCTTAGTTTTAAACTCTCCGGATGCAATTAAAAATTGCTCCGATATACAGAATGTCTCTCATCGGACGTTTTATCCAGACCCGTTACCGGCATTTTATCAACAGTTAGTCAACCGTCCCACCAATACCTCTTCAAATACAACATCATTATTATTGAGGTTTGGGCGGTGCTCGGCTGGATAATAATACACCTTGGCAGAATCAAAATGACGATTCGAATCCCGGTCTAGCGTGTGCTGGTGAGCTGAGAATCCGCGCAGTTTGCCTCCATTAACATCCTGGGCGGGGGTTGTGCCGAAAGAAAGCTGGGGATTTCATCTTCGAAACTGATCACGCGACGTCTCAGTGGCACCTCATTCAATTGGCTTGTAAAGGAGAACTGGGCGTGCCCACTCGGTGCCGCTGGCACTCCCTAAATATATATTGCCAAAGTGTGTGAACATTGCGTTATTATGAAACAAGGAGTATATTGCCGGCCTAGGGAAGTCAGCGGTCGAATTCAGAATTAAGCAACGGAGGGAGTGATCCGGAAAGTCAACCTCCTGCTATCAGGGAGATGATATCAATGGAACGTCTTTAATGGTGTTGTCAGTCGTATTCCTCATTTACACGGGGAGGCGTTCACATCAGCTCAGCAAATCCGGTGGACCACCCCCTAATCAATCCCAAATTTCCCCTATCGACTTGGATTTGAAAGTGACGATGGAAAATTGCAAGACTGTGCGGAAATTCTGGGCAACGAAGCCAGCAAGCCAGCAAGCGGGTCTGTTTTGCAAGAGCTGGCTCCCGGTTTATAATACCATACCCCTCAACGCGACCGACGCTCAGTGGATAGATTGGATACGCGATACATGAACGTTCTTTTTTTGGTCTCCCATGAAAAATCCCGTGGGTACGCGCTAACTAACAGCTCTCTCTAATCCCCAGCACTGCCAACACTACACCCACTCGGCACTCTACCGATGATGCCGCGGGATCGGGGTGGGGTGGTCGACGGCAGGCTGAAGTTTATGGAACGAAGAATGTGCGAGTTATCGACGCGTCTGTGATGCCGTATCAGGTCGGTGGACATTTGACTAGCACGCTCTGTGCGATTGCGAAGCGGGCGGTGGAGTCTATTAAACAAGGGTTTTTGAATGGATGTCTATGCACATACAGATATATATACGGGTTGATATAGATGTGACAATCGGTTTTATGCGTGTATGTTGTGGGTGTTATTATGTAGACTACTATATTTTAAGTAAATAACTAAATAACCCTTTATTATGGAGGGAGTGCTCACTTTATCTTCCGTTTAGTCCGTTCATTTAAGCAGAGTCATTTGCAGATACATATTTCGAACTGCGGAAGAGGTATTTCCAAATGTACAATTACCAGAGTTACAGAATTAACAGATAGGAAATGCTGAGGCAATGGAGATCCAGCAGTTGACACAACAGTCAATCCTGAGGGGATGACTAACCAAGTGCCAGCCAGTTACATAACTATCCAAACCTACCACCAAAACAAATTAACATTCGTCCCTAAACCCATCGAAACATCAGGAAATTCATTTCACCTACGGTTTAAGCTTCTTGCTGCTACGACTTGGACCACCCAGCAACAACAATGGCTTCAGTAGCTCTTGTCGGAGGAACTGGCCTTGTCGTACGTCACCACAATCCCTGAACCTCTATACAGTAGTTTCGGCATATCCTAGTGCAAAAAAAAAAAAAAAAAAAAAAAAAAAAAAGGGGGGGGTCAACAAACCCAATTAAAATAAATAATCAAATGCTTCCAAGGTTAAATAAGCTAACAACTGCTTCCCTCCTCCTCCTCAGGGCTCTCACATCCTCACCACCCTCCTCCCCCACTCTTCAATCGCCCACATAGAATTTCTTGCCCGCCGCCTCCCTCCCGAATCCATCACAAAATCCAACCCCACGAAACTCTCCACCTTCACCTCGAAAGACCCGCCCGCAACCTGGACCTCCCACCTACGAACCGACACTCACCCGCCAGCTAACATCTTCTTCTCAACCCTCGCCACCACCCGCGCCAATGCCGGCGGCCTCGCTGCCCAACGTGCCATCGAGCACGATGCGAACGTCGAGCTAGCCCGGGCCGCCAAGGAGGCAGGCGCGAAGGTATACGTGCTCGTCTCGTCGGCGGGGGCGAACGTGTCGTCAAGCTTCCCTTACCTGAAGCTCAAGGGGGATATTGAGGAGAGCATTTTGGCGCTTGGGTTTGAGCGGACGGTGATTTTGCGGCCGCAGCTCATTGGCGGGCAGAGGGCGGAGACGAGGTTTGCAGAGGGCCTGTTGAGGGGGATTGCGGGTTTTGCTGGGTGGATTAATAAGCCGTTGTTGAAGGATTGGTGGTGTCAGGATGCGGAGGAGATTGCGAGGGCGGCGGTGAATGCTGGGCTGAAGGCTTGGAAAGGCGAGGGAGGGCAGGGGCAGCAGGGTATTATTGTGTTGGATGGGAAGGATATTATCAGGCTTGGGCGGACGGAGTGGAAGCCCGATATTTCGTGAGGGTGAGGAAGCTGTGGGTGTATGGTTGGGTGGCTGCGTTGATCTTATCACTCTAATTTATTGACGATCACATGCTGGGGGCCAATTGTTTCGATATATCTTAATTCCTACGGTCATTGCTATGGTTATTCATTCGGTTGTTGATGATCCCTGGCGGTGTTACAAATCTTCTGTTTCTTCTTATTATTATTCGGTTGCATGATATTTCGGGTTTTTTGTTTTATTTTATTTTATATTTTATTATATATATATTTCTTTATATTATTACAGCTATGGAAGCGAAATTGGCAGTCATACTTCGTATACAAAAGAGATTTCCAACTTTTTTACTAGTTATATACTGTTTCTTAACGAGTGGTCTCGCGGGTAAATCAAACCGATCAAGAGGAGAAAGAACAGTGCTAATCCGGTATCACCACCCCAACGACGAATCATCCCCTCATTTCAAATCATTTGCGCTTCAACTGTCGCCATTACCTTTTATAAGATAAAAAGGAAACGATGCCAAATACCTCAAATAATCAACGAATACCAGGGACCACCCTTATACTTGGTCACTTGAGCAAAGGCTCCCCTTTCTCATTAATGATCACGCCACTAAAATTGACCTTTATCCCTTTAAGTGGTGACACCCTGCGACTGGGCCCTTTCTCCACGAACTCACCCCTGCCAGCTTCATTCGTATATTGCGAGACATCACGGTTCGCAGGACTGACTTCCAGGGGACCCATCTTGCTGTGCCCATCGTGCATAGCTTCGGCCAGCGAAGCTTCCCTTACCTTCTCCGGCGTGCGGTTGTTGAGGTCCCACGCTGCCTGCTGTGACGCAACAGCATTGTCCGATCCGGACTGGGAGTACTCGTGCCGATCTGTGTTTATCGCATAACGGCTGTCAGGGTCACTCTGGGTGCCGAGGTTGAGCGGCATGGTGTAACTAGGCTTATGGGCTTCAAGGACATAGGTGCGTTGTAGACCCCTTCCTGTCGTGGGTGTTGGAATGGCCCCGAGAATCTGCAACGGAGCTGAGGTTAAATTTAGAGGATGACGGTAGACTAGGCCATGGTGGACCCACAGAACCTGGAGGCCGGCTCGGTTCGAAGCGTGGCGGAGAGTAGACATCCTGTGCGATGACAGATAAAAAAGAAGTAAGTGGACAATGTATGTTTATTGATCTGCTTTTAACCCACGATTTGGTTTTTTTGTTCTTTTACTTTTACTTTTTCTTTTTCTTTTTTTTCTTTTTTTCTTTTTTCTTTTTCTTTTCTTTTCTTTTTTTTCTTTTCTGCTTTTTCACTGGATTAAAAAAAAGGGGAAATATGCCTCTAGTAATGTTCACCTTTGGTACGAGACCCAAGCCAGATAGATCTGGTGAAGCAGAAGTGATCAGCGGGTCCTACAGTTTATGGAGACCTCAAAACTTCTCAGCCATAATACAACATGCAGCAGTTCACAAATAGCAATAGAGAACTGACTGTTGGTACTATGGTAAGATGAATACCGCAGTAGTAAGCATGTAGAAGTTCCAATTGCCTGAGACCTATAAAGACATTGGCGCCCCTTTTAGACGTTGCGTCGATAGGTGGCGATTGCTATGGCGAATAGAAGGATAGTTAAAACGAACAAACTCTCTTGGTCAAATTTGTTAACAGAAAGAGAACATGAGTTGGACAGAGACTCTTCTCTTATCCAATACTGTAGAAACTGTGGAGCTGTCAAAAAGATGAAGATGAAGTTCAAGGCAGAAGATCACGAGATACGTAGTTAACCAGTCAATAGTTAACTAACTTAACTAACTAGTGTTAGTTAATAATTAGTTAGTTAGTTAGGATTTCGGGATTAGTAAGCACTGGCTTCCCCTGGCTACAAAACCATATGACGTCACGGGTTTGGACAGCTTTCCCCATGCCCTTAAGCCCTACCTCCTTTTGCTACTTACTGCCATCAGAATATGCCTATTTCCTTTTCTCATGGACTGGCATTTTCATATTTCTTGGAGGCGTTATCTGGAGTGTAGTCGGTACTGTCACGCCATATCCGCCAAAATGCCTATGATTCCGAATTTTTATACAACCCATTCGAAATAAAACAAGAGAGGAGAGGGATGTTCTGATCATAAAAAATTGGGCTCATGCAGAGTAGTGCGCACACAGCATGGGCCGGACATACACAAACGACGGAGTCTTCGAACTGGACATGGATTGAATGGAAACTTTTCGACAGGGGTTTCAACCTTCCAATGCGATGTACGAAGTCGATCGTGTGGGTATTTCCATCCGATTAAAAATTCCGGAGGGTGAATGAGATAGTAATGGAACCGAAGTCGCAAGTACAAGGGCCTCACAGAGGGAACCAAATCACCCGCTCCAATCTCTCAATGTTGGTGATAACGTACCATACGGTGCAGAAATCCAGGCTACGTGTTGAATTGACTTTGCTGTCAAAAAGCTAGAATCTTTTTTAACACAGTCGGAATACAGCTACAGTAAAGCAAGAATAAGACCAGACAACCGACAAGAAACTAACGTCTGTGCTAAAAGAAGGTTGAATATATCTGCAAACTGCTCCACCAAAACGATGACCGATCATAGATCAGCATTTGCGTGGTGCCCGGGAAAATGATGGGAGACAGGGCAATGAAAGAGAAAGGATTGAGCGGTAGTGTGCGCTTTGGAAAGCGGGCAAAGGTGAAAGGGTTAAAGCTAATTGAAACCCATAAGTTAGATATAACTAACTAGCGGTAAAAGGGACAAGTCGCCGTCGAAAGACGATACCTGGGGCTATATACTCGATTTTTTTGGGGGGGCCTTGTTTTATGGTGGCAAGTCGGCGAGCAGAATGTCAAGGAGCATGAGAGAAGGATCGAAGGAAAAAGGAATTTATAACCAAGAGCTACAGTAGTAGCGATCATGCATTGCATATTCGGGGTACAGCACGCAATGCCTAGGAAGAATTGGGAATAATATCGATGCAGCTCAAACTCAAAAACAAAAACCGGAAGGAGATAAGAATACAGAAAACAAATCTTTTCTCCATGCTATAAGCGTCAAAGTTCTTCCGGTTATGCACTGGAACTAGGCGACGTAAGAACTGACTTGGATCGGGGTGTCCCAGTTGAGAGAACCTACATCATGTTGAGATTGGCCAGTCGCCAAAGTGTAAACTGTAGGAGGAGATGCAAGGCAGTTGCAAAATCATGGGGGAACTACACGAAACAGGGCAAGCTATAGATCTGTTTGTCGTGACAGCTACCTACCCTACCTAATTGAGGGATTTTTGGAGGCCAGAAGGAGAGAGAACCCATGCCACAGATAGAGCGTATACCTTCGGCAGAAATGTCACAAGAAACTATATTGCAAGGCAAAACCAAAGCGAAAGACAAAAAGAAAGGGGGGGGGGGGGGGGGGGAGGAAACATATGCCCTGCAGCCACACACATATGCGCTTATCAAGTTGTGGAAAGGAAACATACATTCCATTAGAGTTTCCAAAGAGGGCAGAATAGCGGCTGCCACGTCAATTGGTGCCGGAGGTGATGAAGGATATTGAGAAGCGGAAGCAGAATTAAAAACAATGAAACGGGGAGGTTGGTAGATTGTACTGTCTAGCAACTTCTTTCCCCTCCAGGTCAATGAAATTGGGCACAATTAACGTCACAGAAGGCAAGGAATTTTTGTACGATGCAATTCAGTCACGCACTAGACCAAATTTGCTCAGCATGGACCTACCTAGATCTTTGGCTCGGAGTGCTCGTGAAAGGCTGACACCAATCCCAGAGGAAGATCCATCGCAGGGTTCACTGAAGAACCAGGAAAGAAAAGGGGAAAGGAAAATAAAAATAACGGCGGGTGAGTTAACCAGATATGCCATGCTGACAATGGAAGGATACATTGAAAAATCAGGTGAAAAAACTGGTTAATAACTACTCATGCCACATGGCAAACAGGCGGGGCAACTACCGAAAAGGAACCAAGGCCTAGGTTTCGCAATGTGGCACCAATAAGGATAGAGGCTGGATTAGAGGCAATTCCGTTCGAGGGAAGAATTGAGTACTGGGTTAGAGAGGAACGACAGAAAAGGAATTGGGAGCAAGACCAAATGACAGGAGTCGACGACGATAATAAACGGTTCAAGCATCGCGCATGAATCGTGCAAGGTCGGCTCGGAAGCTGACCAGCCGTACCTTCGCAAATGAAAGGTCGTCAGAGCTCGACGCCAGACTCTATATAATTGACCATCCAATGGGTGTATCGGAATCCCTAAGGCAGATCCCTAGTTGCATACCAAAGCTGGTACAGGGCATCCACTGGGTGGTCAACGGGATGCTGTACTGCCAATTCACTAAGGACAGGGTGCTTATAATACAAGAGGTACGACAGGTATGGACCCACATTTATGGGAACACACCAAGATGTGTTCTCCGCATCTGCAACCGCTGCATGCTGACATGCAAGAGTAAGACTTTATTTGTGCTCCTTAAAATCACCTGAGTAGTTTAGACCCGGCCGTGTGGATACAAATCTGAGGTTGAAATTTCAATTTCAAACTTCATCAACAGAAGATGAACACAACAACGATATGGAGCATGCATCCAAGTGATACTCGGCAATCCAATTCATTTGTGACTTGAACACAGATTATGGCAGGAGTAGTTGGAAAAAATTATCTCTTATTCCATCCGTATATTATCAACGCCGCCGCCAATACCTCGTAAACGTAAAGAAACAGATCCTTGTTAGGTTTACTGAATGTGATTCAACAAGAGACTAGGGTATGTCAAAATTTGGCGTCAAGGAGCTGTCAATGAGGAAGACCATCCTCAACAAGACCATTCGCTTATCTTACCAATTCATGGTCGCCTTATCATTGTGCTTTGATACAACTCCTCATTCACATTTGCCTCAACGGTATTAGCGAAACTCAAAATTGCAAGGCTCCCAACTTGGAGACATATAGGCAGGTCTATATGTAAAACGAGAAACGGATGGCGAAAGGCTTTTCACAGCAATCAGGTTCTGGGACCTGAGAATGAGGCGTCGAACAAACGTCGTGATTCCCGCAACATGCATGCATGCATTGGTTGAAAGAGGGTAAGGTGTATAAATATCATCCTAAAAGTTAGCATGGAAAGGATTTTGCTACTCTGAAATCTGTCAGGATAATGGTCTGCCATGATCGAATACAATCCATTTCGACCAGACGAGTTTCGCCACGTCATGAAGGTCTGTGATGTCTAGCACAACAGTCGCTTTGGACCCGGGGATATTGAATCCATTCCACCGTGTACCCTGTCCATTGCCATCAAAGGGATGGGTACTGTGGTGTCTCCATGTTGGAAAGGGTGCACTAGGCCAAGGGAATGTTGTTTGAGTTGTGAGGGTGGAAGATCCTTGAACCGCGGATCAAATGCGATAGTTTAAGATATTTTGGTTTTCCAAGCGGGTACGTTTTAAACTTCAAGACATCAAATTGTCAGGAGGAAAGATAGAGTAAATTGCTATCCAGAGAAACAGACAGAGTGATACACGTCGCGTCCTCATGTAGACGAACGAACGAGGATGTCAGCAGGTAAGGATTAGGGAACCTCATGCTTCTCGAACCCTAAACGCCTATCATGTCAAGTGGTGAATAATTCATTGAAAACCTTGCAAGAAGATAACACAGGCGAGGATCCAATGATCAAATAAAACGAATCTAAAAGATGCGGGCTAGCCTGCATAGCAACTTTATCTTCATCGAACATGGATTAACAGGTAACAGTTTCAATCTCACTTTTGCACCCAAACCTCAAGTTCTCAGCTGAGGTCAAACAGTGTGTGAATGTAAGTCGAATATCCGAAGGGGCAATAATTAGGTTGATTGGGCACGGTGGCTCGAAGGAAAGTAAGTTACACGGAGCCTAGACCACTATGCGGGACCTGTCGGAGCTCCGAATATCAATATCAATCTCGTGAACGAAAAGGATATGGCCGACATCAAGGCAGGGATTTCTCGAAACGGTCCACAGAGGATATCGCAGATAGCTGGAACGAATGAGGGTCTTACCACGGAAGCGGCACTTTGATCAACGTCGAAGCTCGTTTCAACGGGAAGTAGAAGAGCGGGGAAGGACAGGAATGCAAGGTTAACAGGCTGGAGAACAGGATGAGTTGTCAGGAATGTAGGAGAACGCCAGCCTTAATCGGATAAGATGAGGGGTTCCCAAGGTCAGAAAGGATAAAGCAAGAGAAGTTGGACGAGGACAGCCTAGAAATGCCACGACACCCATGTCGAGCTTCTATGCATTCGTTGCCCGACGAAGAAAAGGGGTATCAGCATGCAGCTCTGGAGGCAACAATGAAATCATCTTTTGAAAGGGAACTCCGCTTTTCCATGTCGAATATCCCGGCTAGTTCAGATCCTAACGCTCGTAAGAAGGCGAGAGATGCTGAGGACAAACCATTTTGATGGACTAACAAACGTATATTAACGAAATTGATCAGCAATGAGGGGATAAAGCCGTCGTTGGCAGAAGAGAGGCATTTGTCTAAAGGAATCTCCTCGAAATCCAAAAAACACAAATATCGCAAGATTTCCCAAGACACTCAAACATTTTCAGCACCTCAGTCTCAAACAGCCTTCAGCACACAATTGCGAATCAACAAATTCAATTGAATTCAATTGAATTCACATAGAATACCTCAAACAAACCTCTCTTCAATTAAGCTCAAGTTCTTCAGCCATACACGCTCAGCCTATCGATTCCACTCTTCAGAAAAGGCCCAACTCGGCGACCAATAGCAACGCTTCAATATTCTGAAACATATTCAAACAGAACGCAAGCAGGTAAGCAGCAATGGAGCCTTATGATTGATTATGTTTGCTGATCCGTTTCCCAGCCATGTGCTTTTATGACCAGAAAAAGTTCACCTGCGGAGACTGGGCATGGGGCAATTTTGCAGCCAGGTGCAACCATGAATACCGAATGGGAGAAACATGCGGCATGAGGCTTGTGCATAACACGGAACCTGTCGGCACCAAATGCAAACTGTGCGATAAAATCGACATCAAAACCCGCCGACTTAATACAGAAATAGGCCGACTGCAACGATGGATCCAAGAAGGCTCCACTTTGAAAGCATCAATGGAAAAATCAAGAGATCAAATCGCCGATCTGCAGAAAGAGATCAATCAATTGGAGTTTGAGAGGAGACACAAAAAGTTCAGCCTTGGCAAGTAATGGTGTCTGGAAGAAAGGAGGCGCGGGAGGCTCCAGCCACAGCCGGGTGGATTGGAGAGCGAAGCGGGGGCACAGAGGACCCTTTTTCCTTTGTCGTAGTACACATTTTCAAGTTTCACGATTCCATTGCTTTTCATAATATCCACTTATTTTTAATGATTCCGGGCTTTTATTTTGCTAGTTTACTCACCTCAGGTCATGGATTTCCACAACACGACCTGTGGTGGGGGCCGCAAATAGTAGAAGAAGTAGTCGTAGTAGTAGAAGTAGCAGTACTGATAGTGGGAGTTGGATGGGTGCAGGGAGAATGTAACAAGAGGGCCGGGGATCGGGTTTGGGCCTAGTGTTTGAGTCCCCTTTGATCAACAGTTCTTGTTTGCCAATGAATTTGTCAAGTCAATATCTTTCCACCGAACTATTCGTGAATTCAATGTGACAACGCTTAAGCGCTGTCTCCTTTCGGGTGAGGTTATCGACGGTGGGGGGGCAAGGGTCTGTAGGTGTAGCTAGCCCATAATTGCCCAAATATGGAACAGCTAACGCGAAAGAAGCCGACATGGGGGGTAAAGCCAGCGGTAGATAACCGAGAGCGGCTAAAGAGCGACGGAATCAATCATAGACTGAAGAGTTTCCGGAGGATCCAAACCTTGGAAGACGTTGATATAAACAAAACTGTTCATTTTCAGACTTGCTGTTATGTTGGTCGGAGGCTCAGAGTGGTGCGGAACAAGGGAGGGAAGGGCTAGGGACAAGGGTTACGCCTGCTCTGCGAAGGACTGAGTACGGGGCTAGCCGCGCTTCTAGCGGACGTAAGCGACGCGGTCACATGTAGTAATACTTGGCATTCAGCAATAGGAAATCACACCGAACCATCCATTGTCCACTTTCATGAGCCGTGATCACCAATCTCACTACAAGACTTCGAGTCTAGGTGAGCTTCCCTAAGCTGAAGAGAGCCGTATCATCGCTTGTAGCTTTAAATAACTAGCATTGATCATTATCATGGATCATGGATCACATATTAACATTCCCAGTGTTGGGAGACAGATAAGCAAGAGAGAAGTCATGAGTGCATAGCTATTCAATGTGCCCAAGTGGGAAATTACGTAAATTGGCTTGCTTTTAAACCGCTAGCTGAACATTATCCGGGTATCTTGAGACAGGCAGATGGGATCTCACATCCGGCACATATATAAGATGTAGGATTAATACGGCACTCTGCACTCGTCCGGAGGTTATCATCAGTAACTCCGTCTCAGTCACCTATCCGGTTTCTTGATCCTCTTCCTTAGCTAGCCCATGCTCCCTAAGCAGAGCATTGATCTCATCAGCTCCCCAGAGGTGGTGGTATATCGTCCCATCCTTAGTTTTTCCTACCGTCGCAAACTCAACTGACGGCATAGGAAAAATCGTAGTCAGCTGGTTATTTTTGTCCATCAAAATCAGGCTAAAACAAAAGGAGAATCAATGGAGGCATCCATGTAAATACATCAGACTCACTCTTCTCAGCACTCAGTTTCGTAGAGTCCATAGTTTTGCTAAGGACCTTCACAGCCATTCCGCAAGCCTCCTTCAAGTCGCAATCCTCCTTATAGTCCTGTTTCAACAGACTCTGGGCACTAGCATTGTTGGCACCTACGCTCGTCGCCTTCCATCCACCGTAATTACCGCTGGGGTTACTCTGGTAAAGCTGGAAGTGCCGGAGCGGGTCGTACCCGGCGTATATGAACGAGACGCCAAACGGCCTCAAACCACCATGTTGGGTATAGCCCTGTTTCAGATCGCAAAGGCGACGGACGAGCTGCTCGCACGGGATTTCTTCATTGTATGTGAGGAGGTAGCGCTGAGCGGCTTGGCGGGCGTAGTTGATGAGGATGTTGGCATCTGCCGTCATCCCAGCCACGGCGCATATCATGTTACTGCGAATAGGTCAATTATCGGGTCTCCTGAGTGCTAGTATCCATTGAGAGTGGGATGGGTGGATAGGTGGATGGATTGATGGACAGGGGCAGGAAGCCAACCATACTCGTTCAGTATATAGAGCTTCTCCGCCGATGTGTCTTGTTCCAGGAGCTTGCTGGTGACTTTCCGCTCTGCGGCCAGCACGATTCCATCCTGTGCTAGTATCCCAAGGGCTGTTCCTGCATGCGAGATGGCTTCTAGAGCGTATTCGACCTGGTAAAGGCGGCCTTCGGGGGAGAAGATCGTAGTCTGTTCAAGTTGCGGACGCGTTTGTTAATAAGCTGTGGCAGGATGGAGAGCAGTGGGAGGGAGAACTTTACCCTGGAATCATATCTTCTCGACATATTGACTGGAATCAATATGGCAAATTGAGAGGCAAATATGTAGAATAACTCCCAAGTTGAGCACAGCGTTGTTGGTCTATTGTCTGTTGTTCCAGTCTGTTTGTTGCATATAGCCGTTGTCGTTGCTCTTATTTAGCTTCCTCAAGGCAAACTCGCCTCATGCGTCCAACCAGCAGCAGAAGCTTGGACCACCTTCTTCCATTAGGACTCCCTAATTACATGTTTCATTTTTATTCTTCCCACAACAAACTATATCAGCGCTGTTTAATGATAACAACTTTCATGATATACGGCCAGGATAACTGGGCATTGGTGACCAAGATGCTCAAGTCTACTTATTCGTCTTTGAATCCTCTCCCTCCAGGATGGACGGAGCATAAAGCTCCATCAGGTACGTCTTACGAACGATGACGTGGCGCAAATACCACAGGTGCCCAGATGTAGTTTCTAATTAATTGCCTAAGGTCATCTGTATTATTACAATGCGGAAACAAAGCAGTCAACATATAGAAGGCCTCCTGCAGTCCCCGCAGGCTTACAGCCAGCCGCAGCTCTCCCTCCCCGACCTGCTTTCGGCTTCCCAGCACATCCTCAAGTTGGCCCTGCTCCGGGCTTCGGGTATCCAGTACCACAGGGAGGAGGCCTGCCTTTTAACATCGCAGACAGTTTTGATAAATTCCGCAGAGACGGTGCGGGAGACGGACGACGGCAAGTTCGACGACCCCGCCACCTTGAGGATAGACCGAAATCCAAGCATACAATTCCCGGATGCGAGCCGTGGGCTCTCGTAAAAACAAAATTAGGTCGTCGGTTTGTTCATAACCCCGACACCAATGAGAGCTTTTGGAAATTTCCACAGGATGTTTTGAAAGGAGTGATTGAGTACGATCGTCTGGAGCGGGAAAGAAAAGAAAGACGGGAGAGAGGGGAATTAAGTGAGGAGCAAGAAGAGGACAGAGGCTTCAAAAGAGTGTCGTTGGAATGGGGACGGTCAGCATCTGTTGCAAACGAAGCAGAAGGGAGGAAAGAGGAAGATAGTGACGAATATGAGGAGGTTGAGGTCACTGATGACGAAGCCGAGGACAGAGAAGGAGAGGATATACAATCCAAAAGGTTGAGAACCGAAGGGGAAAATGCAAACCAGCCTGGATATATTGAGTTCAACGAAGATGATATTGAATACCAGCTCGCAGCCATGGGCGAGGAGTATGGACTAGATCCAGGAGAGTACGGAGAACCTGGAGAGGAAGGATGGGAGGAAGGGGCAGAAGGGCTGCCACTAACGGAAGAGGACTCAACGACGCTTTTCCGCGACCTACTTGATGATTTCCGAATAAATCCGTATACCCCCTGGGAGAAAATCATCGAAGAGGGTAAAATAATTGACGATGCGAGGTACACCATACTCCCCAATATGAAATCGCGACAGGAGGCGTGGTCCAACTGGAGCCGCGACCGGATGCAAGAACTGAAGGAACGAAGAGAAAAAGAAGTAAAGAAGGACCCTAGAATCAGATACCTGGCGTTTCTACAGGAACATGCGACGCCGAAATTGTACTGGCCTGAATTCAAGCGCAAATATAGAAAGGAGCCTGAAATGAAGGATATTCAACTATCAGATAAAGACAGGGAAAAGCTTTACCGTGATCATATACCACGCCTCAAGCTCCCGGAAGCCACTCGAAAATCAGATCTATCCACTCTCCTAAAGTCTACTCCCCTACACGCTCTCAACAGATTGTCGACACCAGATATGCTACCTGCCAGCATCCTCACGGACCTTCGATACATCTCCTTACCACCAGAAATTCGCGATCCTCTAATCGAAGCATATATATCAACATTGTCCCCAGCTCCTGAACCGAAAGGCATATCCACGGAGGAACAGATGGAGCGTGACAAACGACGAGCTGAGAGGGAGAAGCGGTAGAAAGCGCTTACTGAGCGGGAGCTACGCGTTCAGGAGCAGAAGCGGAAACAAAAGGGGGCCCTGATGCATGGGAGGATATGCTGAGGCAGGGAGAAGATGAGATCGAGATGGCGATGAGGGTTGGCAAGGAGGGGTTGCAGAGGCATCTGGAGACTGAGATGATGGCATCTGGGAGTCGTCCTGGGGCTGGTGAGACATAGGCAGGACGTAGGTATTACAGAGATAAGTTTAATTTATCATGAATTGCCAATTAAATTCTGCAGCTTCGGTTATTATCAGTTTGATATATCATGTACAAAGAATATAGAACAGAAGTTCATAATCAAGGGTATCATCAAAATATATCACATGAACTAGAACCAATATGCGTTTGCATATAACAACAGCACATCCAAAATGCAGCATTTCCTTTGTTCCCCACTCTATCTAAATCGCCAATTATCCCAATCTTCATCTTCCTCATCTTCGTCTTCATCATCATCGCTCCCAGCTTTTTCAATGGTATTCACATCTTCCCCTAACCCCTCCCGTTCCACCATTTCCACACCTCCAACAAACCTACCACCCACCCCCTCCCCAACCCTCCGCCTCCGAATCTCCTCTCTCCTCTCTTTTAGCCGCCGAACCCTCTCCTCCAACTGATCCATCTCATCAAGCTCCTCCTCCAACAACCTAGCCGCATCCTCCTTCTCAAATGACGCTTCCATATCGCGATTCCGCCGCTGCGTCTCCCGATCCATCTTTTCCCTTTCGGCAAGCTCAGCGGCAGAAAGTGGTGCTGCGGAAATCATAGCTGCACCGGGCATCACGGAAAATGGCTGTGGGGCAGTGGGCATCTTTGTAGGTGCAGCAACTTCCCGCTCGAATGCGGCCCATTCGTCCTCGTCGATAGATTGGGGTTGTAGCTCTGTCTGTGTGGGGGCGGTGGGATGTGGTGAAGGTTCAGAGGGGAGTGCAGTGTACTCTTCGTCCGGCTTTTCTTCTTCGTCTTCTTCTTCTTGGTCTTGATCTTGATCTTCTTTGCCTTTTAGGGGTTCAGCTGTTATCGATGTATCCAGGGCCATTACTTCAATACCTTCATGTTCGTCAGATTGACCGCGCCACTGAGCTTCCTCCTGCTCAATATGCTGTTCTTCGGCCCTTGATTTTTTGCGGGCGTCATCCAGTTTCCCCAGATCGAGTTTCCGTTTCCTAGTTCGTCTGGCAGAAGAAGCACCCGAGCCAGTAGCTTGACGAGAGGCCAACTCGTTGCGGAGCAAGGAGCGAATATCTGCCATGCCGCGACGGCGCGTGGCTTTAGATTGGAAGAGTCAATATATTTATTTAAATGACCGATAAGAAATAAAACATGCGACTTCAGTAAATTCAGATACTTTGCAGAATATTACTGTAGTAGTTATCGCATAACAAAGGGTTTAATTTGCGGGCATTGTGTGTGTGTGTGTGTGTGTGTGTTTTTATTTAACACCCGGTTAGTCCATGAGCCTTATGGGCACGTGATCTAGTAGAGTCCGCGTCGAACTATAGGGTGGGTAGAGCTGTGCCTGTAGGCGACTACCTATCTAGTAGCTATCTTACAAATGAGGCAAAAGGGTTGCATATTGCTGCACTGGCAGAGCCCATGGGTCAGTTGCCATAGAGTAGAGGTTTTGAGAGGTTTTAGATTTGTGGAAGGGAGGTAGAGAAGGTGAATAGAAAGAAAGGCAAGAAAGAAAAGAAAGAGAAGAAAAGAGAGAAAGAAGAAGAAGATGATGAGAAAGACAGAAGCAAGACAGAGAAGAGAATGATCTGTGAAATCTGATCTGAAGATGTGTGACAGCACATTGAACAGATATTCTGATAGAAGACTGTTTCTCTTAGTCAGTTATTGAATTCTAAAGTCTCACATGAGATTGTCAGTGTCTCATGAAGATTGTAGATAGATCAGCACTGCTTTGCTGCTTTTCTTACAAAAGTACAATAGTAGAAATGTTCTGAGATTTTGCTATGTTCACATCAGCAGTAACACTCTGCATCTTCATGCTTAAGATGACTGTGATAGGCTGCAAAGTCTTCATGATCTGATCAGACAGCATAGAGCTTTTCTAATATGAAGTGTGAAAGTTTTACCTCTGTTGAGACTCTCTTTAGTGAGATCTCCAGCTTCATATAGTGTTTGAGCTGATTTTTGATTCAGTAGTTCTCAAAGATCCATGTGATTTGTTTCATAGTATGTTGCTTTATATAAGCTAGAGTGTCTATGCTGTCAGATTAAGATATCATACTTGCACTTGCTGTCTGTACTGCAGCTGTTTTGACTTCAAGATCTGTCTTTTCATTATCAGTCACATCTGTGTGATCTGAGACTCATCTAATGATCACTCTGCTCTGAGTGATTAATGAAAGTCTATCTCTGCTCTGTCAGATCTTTATTACTTTTAGAAACTGTGTGAAGATCTGCTGACTAGAGGTGTTTGACACATATTCAAAAGCTTATGCTATCTTCAAATTGTCTAGACAAATGTAGACATTGCTGGCAAACTTCATCTGAGATGAGATGATGACTTTCTTTAGACTTTGCAGAACTGTCATTGTCTTTGTATCAAAGATCTCTGCTTTATTCATTAATAGATTTTCTGTGAAGATTAGACAGTGTTCACTATCTTAGCATATAGCTCATTCTGCATCAGTCACATATTGAGAATGCTCTATCTGTGAATCATTGATAAAGATCATCAGATTCAGAGAATTGCATTATTGTAGTCAACTCTTAAAGTCTTATGCTGTTTGTTTCTTTGTGTGATCTATCTCATACTCAATCTGCAGATCTTCTTTTCTGAGAAATCTCATTCAAAGAAGTGTGAGTAGAGAGTCATATACTTCTATCTCATCAGCATGACTGAATGCTCTAGACAGATGTGTGATATAGAGTTTGATGATAGCTACTTTATTAAAGTGCCTCACTAGCAGATGTCTCTTGTCAAACTTTTTGATTCTTATTGCAAATACTATTAGAGAGTGAATGCAAGCTGCATAAGAAGGAAACTCTCTGCATTGCTAACTGCTATTGTTAGGGAGCGAATGCGAGCTGCATAAGAAGAAAGACTCTCTGCGTTGCTAACTGCTATATAATGAAATACTAAGCTTGATGGGATGAAAGGGGGTGCTGGGGCCTGCGTGGATTATAACCACCTGCATGGTCGTGTGGTCATGTGATATGGATTAGGCCTAATCGGGCGCCGAGCTTAATCCGACGTCGAGTCTAACCGGGCACCAGCCTTCAGTCGGGCTCAGTCGGACACTGAGCCTAACATCACTCCCTGGTCTAGGGGCAGGCATGTCCTCATGCTGGTAGGTCGTCATCAACCTCATCCTTCAGGTAGCTGTCTGTCTCCCATGCCTTCAGCCACTCATCTAGTCGCCTTGGGGGTCCAGCTTTTGTAGGGTTAGCCTCATGGAAGTCATGTATGGCGTGTGGTGATTCTTTGAAGTCACAAGTGGGGTATCATGAAGAATCCTCATCAAACCCCTTCCAGCACACCTGATACTGCAGCTTGCTCTGGCTTATTTGACTGGCCAGTATACAATCTATTTCTCATTCATTCTCATCATCTATTTCAATTGGGTCTGGTGATCTGATAGTCTGACCAGATAAAGGGTCTCTGAAGTTCTTGTGTAGCTTGTCTGAAGAGAAGATTGAATGAATCTTCATTGTTATGAGAAGGTCCAGTTTGTAGGCATTGCTCATCTTTTCCAGGATTCTGAAGGGGCTGGCATTCTGCTCTGCCAGTTTATGACTTGATCAATCCATCTTGTATGATTTCAATGTTAGATAAACAAAATCTCCTACTGCAAAGTCAAACTCTCAATGGTGCTTGTCAGTCTGCCTCTTCATCTGTTCCTGTGCTGTTCTTATGTCTTTACTTGCCTGGTTTCAGATCTCTCTCATTCAGTGAATGAAGCTTCTTGCTGCTTCTTGATTTCTTTTCTCATTCATGTTCAATTTCTCTGCCAGTGATTGCCAGTCAAATGACATTCAGAGTTCATATTCATTTGCTGTGAGGAAGGGGGAGATTCCTGTGAAAGCATTTGAGGTAGCTGTGGAGGCATGGTCTATAATGAGCAGCCACTCATCCCAGTTGTCTTGGTAGTAACTGACATAGAGGTGAAGACAGATGGCAATGTATTGATTCACCACTTCTGTCTGTCCATCAGTTTGTGCATGATGTGTCATTGAGAGTTTCAGTTTTATGCTCAGAATCTGTGTAAACTCATCTCAAAAGCTTGATATGAACTGGGGGCCTCAGTCAGAGACAATTGAGTCAGGCGCCTCATTGTATGAATAGTAGAATTGAATGAATAGTCAGACCAGCTCCTGGGCTGTAACTTTCTGAGTGGTTGAAATGAAAATTGTCTTCTTGCTTAGTCAGCATACTATGATCAAAATGACATCATAATCTGTTTTGCTTTTCAGCATGTCCATGAAGTCCATTGCAATATGCTGTCATGCTCATTCTGATATTGATAATGACTTTAGCAAATCAGAAGTCTTATCTCTTGGAATTTTACTGATCTGGCACACATGACAGTTCTGAATATAGTGTAGGATATCTGTCTGCCAGATGATCCATCAATAGTGTGATTGCACCAGAGTCAGGGTCTTTCATCCTCCAGGGTGTGCTGTTGAAGCTTGATCATGAATTTCCTGCAGTAGCTTGGCTATCAGAGTTTTCTTTTCCTGAACAGACATCACTAGTCTTTCATTGTACTGTAGCACATTGTCCTCCATTGTATAGAGACTATTCTCATCATCTGCCTGCTGCTGCAGAGGCTCAATTGAGATGACTGTTTTGTTTAGAGACACTATGCATTCAGCAATGCTCTCTTTCCCTGAGAAGTTGATGCTAGCAATGTCTGTAGAGGAAGTGATCTGGGGGTCAAGAGTCTCTGATTCTAGGAGAATCTGCATACAGTCATTCTGTTGTCTTTTAATCTGCTCAGGCCTGCTCAGTGTGTCTACT